TTCGTGGGTGTTGAAGGGGTGTTTTTTTTTTCTCTCTCTTGATATGTGGCTTTAAAAGCTTTATTCATTAGGCTTGAATGTATGAAGTAATTGTTATTTCATCCCTTAAGGAGAAGCAGAGTATTTAAGTTATATAGATGTAGTACTCCGTAGTGGGTAGTATATACAACATAGTCTGTGCATGTGCACCGAGGTTGGGAAGAGGTCACTGGGTCAGGGACAGGGACAGGGGCCGACTAAAGAGTTAAAAATGGCATATAATATATCCATGGATATTTGATTCGACTCCTCTTGATTCTTATTGACTCTTATTGGTCAACTCTTTGACCTTTTCATTTTTTTCCATTTTTTTCCATTTTTTTTCCGTTTTTTCATTTTTTTCATTATTTCATCCCTAATTTCTTGGATGACGTAGGCTCAGGAATCGGATGATGGGGCCTATGGGCCATTCACAGGGGAAATCCCCGAGGTCTTCAGACTTTACTTCTTCAACCATGCCTCCATTTCGCAATTTTTTAGGACGAAAGTCCCAACCCAATGGGGATTCCGCTGTCTTGGATGAGGACCATCTCACTCCAAATCAACGCCCTGCGCCCATACCGATCCGTAGTAGCCAGGATGAACCCACCGAGTACAAATTGAGTGGTATGTTTGAATCCCCCGCACTGCTCTGACCGTGACTTCTGCTGCTGTAGCAACTTGAATCTCTTGGAATGCTAACCTCGGTCCCTAGTGGTTAACGACAGCGGTGTCTATCTTCCGGTATAGGCTGTGTGATCGGGCAAATGAGATACACCTGCTAATTGCTGCAATAGCCATCTCCCCCAGAGCGCTCGAGTTTCTGGCGCCGGTACCCGGGCTCTAACAAACCCGTCAATCATCGAGACCTCGTTGATGAGAATGAGCCTTTCTCCATTTCCCGCGAGTCATTTGACTCTTACCGCCGATCATTTGTATGCCCCGCGAACCGATCCGAATCGATCCGCATGAACACAACTGACATTAAATTTCCAATTTAGGATATCTCTGCGCGCTCACCCATCATCCATCCCGATGCTGGTCCCTCTCGAACTTCTCTTGACTCTCGATTCTCCCGATTAACTCCATCGGGCACTCACTCCAATAGCCTTACCAGGTCTGAAATTATGGAGGAAGAAGCCTTTGAAGAAGTAGGGTTAAATGACGAGGCGAAACCTAAGAAGAAGGGTTTCCTTTCCAGGTTTGGTGACTCTAGTAACGATGCGCAACCACCCGGGCCCAAGTCTTCTACCTCATCTTTCGGTTTCCACATTCCCGGCCGGAAGCGCGGCCAGAGTGCTGGTGCATCAGAACTGGCCTCAGTGAAAGTAGCCCCATCTGCACCTGCCCCCACCGATGAGACATGAAGTGATGAATGATGAGACATGTTTAATGCGTTGTGATTCTCTTTACGGCGTTTCGGGTTTGTTTCGGGTGATGTAAGCCACACTCGTTGAAGGGACAGTATAATTCGGGACTTGGTCGATGACGATAGGGATTGCCTTGTCCTTGCCTTGTCCCTGGGGAGTCTAGATGGCTCATGTCACTTATTAGCATTTTGTACATCTTTTGCCATCGAGTTGCGACTCGGGCCATCTGTGCTTCGTTTAGAGACAATATCCTACATTTTATTCTCATAGAACTTCCATGGCAATCCACCTTGGACCTCCACATATTAGACAATAATATTTCCTGTAAGAATTCAATGAAAACAAGAGGATTACTATGTGGTTCAATATGTTTCTATTTGTATGAGCTTGCTGTGAGTCCTAGTCCACCTGGACAGGGCAGTTTTGTATCTTATCAGTGCAAACTGTGCAAACACCCGGCAAAAAAACTTCCTCCGCCTGCGATCAAAAAAAATTATCCACCAGGACATCGAGCAGTCTCCGCTCGCAAAGACCCCAGTTTTATTACTTTTTTCAATCGGGGATACCCTACAGCCTACGGAAATTATCTTCCATAATGGCTGGATTGAAGCGTGCCGTCGACGGCAGCGAGGAGCGCAATGGCAAGCGGAGCAAGACTAAGGAAGGCTCCGCATCCAAGAGCAAGTCCGTGAAGTCAAGCTCTTCATCTAAGAAGGACTCGAAGAAGGATTCCAAATCCAGCAAGAGCGACAAGAAGCCCTCGAAGAAGGTTCAGAAGGAAGAATCCGAGGACGACGATGACTTCGACATTGACGATGTCTCCGACGAAGATATTGATGCCCTTGATGCCCTTTCAGACGACGCTGAGATGCCCGATGTGAGCGAGGAGGAGAAGCCCAAGTCAGACAAGAAGTCAGATGCGGATGACGAAGAGCAAATAGAGGCCCCAAGGAACCCCAACCCCAACCCCAACAGTAAGTTTCAGTTCTGCCTCCTTAGCGGTGCCGCATCTAACTATTATTGCGCGCTTAGACAACAACTCTCGCGAATCCCACATCAAGCAGAAAGCACTCCAGCAGGAGCGCAAGGCCGCGAAGCCCAATGCCGATACCGTCGCCCGCTCCAAGAAGTTGTGGGAGCAGTTGCGCCGCAAGTCCCATGTGCCTCTGGAGCAGAGAAAGAAGCTTATCAAGGAGCTATTTGAGATCATCACTAACCGCGTTCGGGACTTCGTGTTCAAGCACGACTCGGTGCGAGTTATTCAGACTGCACTCAAGTACGGAAACCTCGAGCAGCGCAAGCTGATCGCGCACGAGTTGAAGGGTACTTACAAGGAGCTGGCGCAAAGTCGATATGCCAAGTTCTTGGTTGGAAAGTTGATTGTCCACGGAGACGACGATACCCGCGATTTGATCATCCCAGAGTTCTATGGCCATGTCAGACGTCTCATCCGCCACCCCGAGGGCTCATGGATTCTTGACGACATCTACCGCACAGTTGCGACCAAGGCACAGAAGAACAGACTCCTCCGCGAGTGGTACGGTCCCGAGTTTGTCATTTTCCAAGATGAGAACGACACCACTTCCGATCTCGCCAAGATCATCGAAGCCCACCCCGAGAAGCGTGGACCGATCATGAACTACTTGCGCGAGCTGATTAACCAGCTGGTGCAGAAGAAGAGCACTGGTTTCACCATGCTTCACGATGCTATGTTGCAATATTTCCTCTGCACAAAACCCGGCAGCAACGAAGCGAACGAGTTTATCGAGCTGCTCAAGGGTGACGAAGAGGGTGACTTGGTCAAGAACTTGGCTTTCACCAAGTCCGGCTCCCGCTTGATGTGTCTGACGCTTGCATACTCCAACGCCAAAGACCGCAAACTGCTCCTACGATTCTTCCGTGACACCGTCAAGGCTATGGCCGGCGACGTCTACGGTCACCAGGTTATCCTTGCCGCCTACGAGGTCATTGATGACACCAAGCTCAGCGCCAAGTCCTTCTTCCCCGAGCTCTTGAACCAGAATGAAGCCGAAGAGGCCCGCCACGAGGAACTCTGCTACCAGGTCAACGACTTGACCGCACGTATCGCTGTGCTATACCCCTTCGCCGGCGAACGTGTCAAGTGGCTCCTCCCCGAGGCCGACCAAACGGTCCTCGAAGAAGTCCGCGAGGTCCGCAAGGAAACCTCCAAGAAAGACCCGGCCATGCGTCGCCTGGAACTTGTCAAGGCCGCTTCGCCGACACTGCTCGAATTCATTGCTGCCCGCGCCTCTACCCTTCTCGAGACGACCTTCGGCTGCCAGTTCCTCTCCGAGGTGCTGTTTGAAGCCGACGGTGACAAGACCGCCGCTCTCGCGGCCGTTGCCGAAGCCGCCAAGTCGCACACTGAAGCCCGCGATACCGCACACGCTGGACGTCTTCTCAAGTCTCTTGTGCAGGGTGGACGATTCAACCCGGCCTCGAAGTCTATCGAGAAGGTGGAGCCTGCGTTGAACTTCCACGATGTGCTGTACGAGCAGATCAAGGATGAGGTCATGGACTGGGCGACGGGGGCTAACCCCTTCGTGGTTGTCGCGCTGACCGAGTCAGAGGACTTTGAGAAGAAGAGCGAGCTGCTCAAGACCCTGAAGAAGAACAAGAAGGCGCTGGAGCAGGCCTCGGCGTTGGTCGTGGAGAAGGATGGAAAGAAGAAGCCTAGCCCTGCTAGCAGTGGTGCGAAGTTGTTGCTTTCAAAGATCTAGATATAAGCGTTTCTACGGGATTATAGCATGTGTAATTACGTTGTATACAAAAAAGCATACCTTTCTATTTTTTACTTTTATTTTTATTATTTTTCTCTTGTCTTTCTCCCCCTCTGATGAACGTTTGAGATGTTCCTGAAATTACCTTCTCCACAAGATGTGGAACTCATACTCCTATAGGTGGCCAATCTCAGGGGTTCATCCATTGTTATTTTAACCATAACAAAGGACCCTTGGAAATATTCAGCTGACTGGAATTATGTAGTGCAATCAATAAAATATGTCCGGATCATATCCTTACTGCAATAATGCATATACGGAGTGTGCATAGGTATACATCACATTCAAACTACACCGTAGCCCGTAATATTCGAATTAGTTGGTGTGAGACAATCCCAATTAAAGAAATAAATTAGAGCATAGACATTTACCTCTAGTAATAAATTATTATAACCCGAGAAAGCTTATTGAGGTCGAGTTGTACATAGTAAAAAATTTGATCTGATCTATCAACTACAATTCTATTATACCTTAATGCTACTTAAACTACTACTGTTGACAATTGCAAGGGTACCTCAAAGCCTAATCCGTATTTACTGGTTTCCTCTGTATGGGATAGGAAATTGGGAATATCTTCACAATCATATATCCAAATAAGGCAATGATCAGGGCACGCTAAACTGTCTAAGGGGAGAAACTAACTGTAACGGTACCCAACCCGTACACGGGTCGATTTTGCGACTTCAACCCTTTCTCTCTCTCTCTCTCTTTCTCTCATTCTACCAATTCTGCAACGGAACACCCCCCAGGCCCCAGGGCCTGTGAGAGAGAGAGAGAAAATATGCCCTCACTCACTCTACCAAACCCGGACATGATCCTGCCGTACGAAGACGAACGCGCATCCCAAACTCCCTCCCCACCCCAAATCGCCTACTTGTCGCATCTCAATTCCCGCCAATCGGACTCCAATGGCTCCATGTCAGCACCCAGTCGACAGAAGAAAAATTTTTCCCGCCATGCCTGGACGCACGACGACGTGAATGTGAGCCGTCGTCTCTCGGATATTGGCGAGGAGCTCTCGCCCGCCAGATCAGAGGGCTTCGGCGATTCGGACGAACAAGACCTGGCCAGCTCACCGCTACTGCATGATCACGACGATAAGAATAGGGATAATGCTGCATGGAGTAGTTCAAATTCCACCATTAGTGCGGGGAGTAGACGCGCTTCTGCATCTAGGGATGTGCCTGAGGCGCATACCGGACGCGACGAATCCCCCGTTCACCCCGAGGTCGCGAGAGCGCAAGCTACCGCGGTCGTTGGTGCTGCAGGGGGTTCTTCTGTACCGGCTAGCAACGCTGTGGCGTCTGCAGCTGCGGAGGGCAAGGGGCCCGGAGAGGAGTTTTCCTCGGCGATACTGAGTAGCGAGGCGGAGAGGATTCTGGAGAATGCGAAGAAACGGTTAAATGTATGTTCATTCCTTGTGTCTGGCGCGCCGCGGGTTGGCTAGGGAATAATACTAACGTGCTTTGTTTCTCAGCTCATGGAAAACAATCTCACTCGAGCTCGGTCGACGACGCCACGCACCGCCGCCTCACCTTCGCCCTCGAATTCGGGATATATCCAGCCAATGGGTATGCATCAGCCAGTGGGCGGACTGTATCGGTCGATTGCGCGCACGGATCCTAAGAGCTCTTCGCTTCGACGGCAGTCGCTCATTGCGTCGCAGGATACGACGAACAATCGTCATTCGAGAGTACACTCTGAGACGAATATTCCGTCTGATTCGAGCTTTGCGAATGATAACAAGCGTGTCTCGCGTTCTGTCAGTGCGATGGGCGCGAGCACTTCGTCTAGTCTTCATACTGATAATCGGTCGTTCCAATATGCACCTACGAGAGCGTATCTGACGCACCGGTCATCGGTTTCTTCTACCCAGTCTCCGATACATATGAATGACCAGGGGCAACAGGATCAGGCGGCCCAGTCACCTGTTTCCACCGAAGACAGTTCGCCGGACTCGCCGCATGGCTTGGGAATCTCCTCGGAGGAAGGATCGAAATCAAGCCCGGATGGTTTTAGTCCGGTCTACAGCTCCTTTGGTCCCCCTAGCCGCGCGCAGTCGCAACTGCAGGTGCGTGATCTCCAGTACCAGATGAAGGGTCTTCACATCAAGATTTCTTCTCTCAAGGTGAAGACCCAGGAGGATAATCTTCGTCGGCGCAGCTTGCAAAGTTTACGAACACCCAGCCCATTAACGGCCGCCGATCACTGGTATGCTAATGCGCTGGAGCTCAGAGATGGTCAGAGCAGTCGCGGTTCCAACCCTCGACGTGATGTCAGCTCTGAAAACACCCGGGATGTCTCGAATGATGCAGCGGCGGACGATCGACGCAGATACGATGAGCACGCCGCTAAGAATACACCCAAACACGCCGGAAATCGGCAAGGGTATGAGCCTGCTGACTATGCCGATGACCAATCTGTCGCCGAGACCATGTACGAAGATGCCGAAGAAGGTGACTTTGATGAAGACATTGACCGCGAAGCGCTGGATGAGATCTTGCGTGAACCGCTCGACGATGACTTCGAGAACGACATGGAAGCCTTCCCCGACGTGCCATCCCACACGGATGCAACACCCCACGAGATGCGCGAGGATGCCTTTGACTATGAGCATTTCATATTGCATAGCGCACTGGGCAACTACACGCAGCAACTCCGTCGGGTGAGCAACAGCTCGAATGGATCAGTCGAGACAACCCGGCCCACATACGCGCGACACTCCCGTACCAACAGCAACATGTCCGTTTCGACAGTGGCAACCTTCGCAACCGCAAATGAAGGCGAGCGTCCCGACGACGAGGACGACGTTGACAGCGTAATGTACTGGGACCGACGGTTCAATCATGGTGCGTTCCTGCGATCTCGATTTCCCCTGACGTTTCCGACACTAATCCTTGAACAGAGCTGCGACATGGCCATAGCCATAGCCATTCCCAGTCTCATGGCCATAGCCACCAACCAAGTCCAATCCAAGAGGTTGACATCGAGGGTGACCGCTCTGAAACACCCCGTGGACCACGATACAACAACGGCGACAACACCCCAGTGGACCCAAACAACCTTTCCCCTCAGAAACTTACTGGCCGCTCATCCTCAGCCACGGCCGGTTCTGCAACTCCAACCTCTCTTGTCTCGTCCCTCGTCTCAACCGTGCGCGCGGCATCCATCACCCCCAGTGTCGGTGGTATCAACGATGATGACACTCAGATGCTGGAAGCACTATTTGCCAGTCTTGGTAACGTTTGTATGGACCTGCAGGCAATCACGACCTCTGCGGATCCAGACGTGAAAGCTGCGCGTGTGCTGCGGCGTCGTCTGGATGCGGCGCGGAGAGTGCTAGAGGGAGAGCTTGATGCTTGATTTGATCATTTCTTTCTCTTTTCGTTTCATCGCTGCATAGTAAATGATGCCATATACCATGATTTATCCCTGATTTAAGTGGGATTGACGTTCTTTTGTTTCTTTTGTTTATCTTTGACCACATTATCATGATACCCAGTGTTTATTTAATTTTTTATCTGTTGGCTGTGATTTTATTGTACCTAGGTCATCTAGAGACTCTAGAGTATAAAAATAATCTAATTAATGTCATGATCAATGCTGTTGTGTACGAGATCTAACCTCGCCAAGAATTCATTTTAGCACATCATTCTGCACCCCTCCATTATGGAATGGAAGGTTACAACAAATATTCTCAGGTACTCATTCATCATTCTTAGCCTCTTTTCTCCAATATCCTGGAGGGCCAAAAGTCAACTCCTATAGGGCGAAGCTGTACACTCACGCCGCAATCATCCCAGGCAACAGAGCATCCGTGAAATTCCACAATATAGCTGAACTATGCGAGATCACCGCCGCCCCCGTGTACCACGTGCTTCGATAGCCCTGCAACCCCTCCAGATCTCGATAGAATCCGTCACGGATGGAATCGGCATCGACCACCAATTTGAACGGCGTATGGCTGTTGAAGGCCAAGAAATGCGGCACTGCAGATACATTCGCATGTACAGTTCCCTGCAACCGACGAATCACCGCAATGACATCGTCCTTCACAGCAGCCTCCTCCATGGCATACGGACTACCGTACCAGACATAGAATATCCCTGGAACATCCGTCTCAGTGACCTGGTACGGCGCCGGGAGCTTAGGGATATTGCAAAGCCCAACCGCATTAGCATTGTTGAATCGGTATCCAGACGGGAGTCCAGTATTGTTGACCAGCATGGTGTAATACCCACTGTAATTCCAGCGCGAGAAGAGACTGAATTCTGAATCCGTCAAGTCAAACGGCTTCATGTTTCCCAGGAGGGGCGGGATGCTGACGAGTAGCTTTGAAGCTACGATGAGTTTGTTTCCAGTGGGAGTCTGCACCACAAGCCTCACTCCTGTGCCGTTGACCGACCGATTGGCAGCAATGACCTGCGATGAGAACAGAATGTCCGTGCCGAGAACCGCAGATGCCTTCGTGTATATCTCGCCGTTGCTATGGAGGCCTCTCACATCGCCTCCGCTTAAGGCGTCGATAAAGGACCCGTCGAAAATCTTGAACACATTCGCCGTCAATTGATCCAACACATTGGAGAATCCCTGTGCACCAAAGTAGACATTGTACCCGACATCCTCGAGCTGGTATTCTTCCAGGAACTCCGCGAATGGCAAAAGAAGTTCCCCGGGAACGGGATCGGGTAGGTCCCAGCTGTACTCCAGATACGGGTATTTCTGCAGCTGCGCGCGATACGCCGTATAGTTGCTGCTGGAGGTCACGCTAAGCTGCTGCCCCGTCTGGAAATCCGCGTAGACATCCGTGCGCTTGTATCCTGTGTATTCTGTTGTCGGGACCCCCAGGTAAGATAGATAGTCCCGTGTCACGGAGATGTTCCAGAACGCCTGGACGCCGTAGTCGATTGTGGTACCCGTTGCTGGGACAGTGTACGTGTTTGTGTGGCCACCGAGGACAGCCTCCTTCTCCACAACCACTACGCTTTGTCCGCGTCTGTGGAGGTTGATGGCGCCGTATGTGCCTGATGAGCCGCCTCCGATTACAGCGACATCACGAGTAATGATATCCTCGCTGTTGTAGTTGCTAGGGTGGAATATATCTTTGTCTTTGGCGGGTTGAATGGCACAATACACTAGACTCAGGTATGTGGATAGGGAGATAAGCCGATTCATCGTAGCAGGATTCCGATGGGGTTCGTGCTCACCAAGTTGCCCTCGATATTGGAAAGTATTGTGGCTTTATAGTCATCTGGATATTGCAAGGTTCTTCCATACCGTCACCCATGCGCTATATCTCATGTTCATCATGCAGGTTCGATGTTGGATGGAATCCGCTGTGCAGGTTTGGTTCCTGGGACCTGACACGCCTCCGCATCGGAGTTAGCTAAGACGGGACCGACGGGGAAAAATCGCGTATAGTGTGCACTCTCAAGCTTCAGCCACAAGGATCACGCCCAGATCCTTCCAAGGTGAGGTCGACAAGATGGGTCTTACTAAGACGGATTCTCTTAATGGGATCGGACTTTCCATTCGGAATATCTGCTTCGGATAGTCGTTCTAGCGAATTGTGGATTATTGCTTGCACTTCATTTACACTAGATACTCTTGGATTCATACATGTTTTGCAACGTGAATGCAGCTGTAATGAGCTACTCGATATCTTAGAGCGGACAAGATCAGAATAAACATCAAACGTGAACTATCATAAATATATCTATAAAATCCAGCTCACAGACGAGCACTTGCCCGAGTACTAAACCCATAGTCCTCTTTAATAATATCCGACGCTTTTTCTGCAATGGCATACACAGTAGCCATGATCGCGGCACTGACCTGCATCGGCATGACACTGGCATCAACAACACGAAGGCTCCGAACCCCCTTTACCCGCAACTTCTCATCCACCACCTGTCCCATCGCACAAGTTCCTAAAGCATGATGATAGGACACGATGTGATTACGAATAAATTGGCGAGTTTCGTCCATATTCGACAGATTGAGGTCAGCAGGGGGGCTCACTCGTCGACCAATTTTGCCGATTAGGGAGGTCGACTGGAACACTCGGTCTGCGAAGACAATACCAGCGGAAAGAACGTCAACATCCACGGGATGACGAAGAAATCCCGGATCGATTTCCGGTGCATCTATTGGATTCGAGGTCCACGCGTGTACACTCCCGCGAGATAAAGGATACATGTTGCTGACGACGATGGAGTAGCATGCGTTGTAGCCGGCAGGAGAGCCAGATGCGATCTTGGCGCAGTTTCTGTACCCGGCTGTGGTGTTGAAGTACGCGGGGGTGCCAATGAACTGGATATCCGCGGAATGGGAATTTCGCATCCGGCCGGCGATAGCCTCCTGTTGCTTGCGTTGGTAATTGGCGTTTTGCTGAAACCGCTCGCTGCCTATACTGGGAGCATCGAAGATACGCGCCACAGTGTCGTTGACCTGGGTTTCGGTGGAGTGTAATGAGTACTGAGTAAAGCCCATTAGACTAACCGATCCAGACAAGGCTCCGGAATGGTTTTCGGCGTAGAGCCTTTGATGCTCTTGTAGCAACGCAGGATCTTTGAGTAAGGAGTCCACCGATATAATTCCATCCGCGAGCTCATAGGATACAGCTGACATCGTGTGTTCTTGTAGATTATTGCCCACGTCCGTGATGGCCACTCTGCAAGCAATCCCAGCGCTTTTGAGGACACTAGGGTCTCCAATCCCAGAAAGCTCCAGAAGCTGGGGACTCTGGATAGACCCGGCGCTGAGTATCACTTCTTTTTTAGCTGACACGGTGAAGCGAGCCTCCATGTGCTGCAATTCAATCCCTTCTGCAGTGGGTGTTCCGTCTGGAGCATCGGAGAGTAGGATGCGGCACACCTGTGCGTTTTCAAGGATCTTTAGATTGTGGCGACCCATAATGGGAGCAAGATAACCGCTGGCCGCATAGCTTCGAACTGGTTTGCTGGTTCTGTCCAGTGTAAACAAGGACCTGTAGAAGCCCAAATGAGTACCATCGTAGGGCTCGACTGGCCGCTGAAGGCGAGAGGTTTCATCAAATGCAGCCAAAATTGATTCTTCTATGGGCGGTTGCCAGGGACCTATCGAAGTGTGTATTGGCCCATCGGTGCCATGGACCTTGGGCTCCACTGGACAACTTGTATTGGGCTTGACGGGCTCCAAGCCTTCACTTCTTTTGAAGTACGGTAGCAGTTCAGACCATGTCCACCCTGTGACACCCAGCTTACTGGCCCAATCATCAATGTCTTCAGCGGATGGCCGGTTATAAGACATAAAGTTGATGCCGCTCGAGCCACCTAGCATTTTGCCACGAGGAATATGATAGGATTTACCATTCGTGCCAGCCTGCGAGAAGTCAATAGAGGCTCATTATGAAATTGCGAGGTCTCGCACCTGTGGGATGCTCTCAAAGTTCCAGTCATAGTCAGGATTGCTTATCATCTGGCCCGATCCTGTGGGAAGGTCGACCTTGGGATCCCCCAGCCTAAGGGAGCCAGCTTCGATTACCCCGACTTGGATGCCTGGTTCCTCGGAAAGACGAGCTGCGAGGACGAGACCGGCAGTTCCACCGCCGACGATGAGAAAGTCAAAGGGTGTCTGGATAAAGTCGACGAGCTTGTCTGTGGCCATGATTTCCAATTCTTGAGACGTTAGAGATTAATTTGTGGGCGGACAAGATTTGGTTTATGGCCCTGGGTGACGGGGAAAGCCGTAGTTCTTATAGGAAGCAAATTACAAACGTCCGATTTAGACAAGGTAGGGCTTGGGGCCAACTATGGGTATACATTATTCCATCGGGACAAAAAATTCTCGGTCACTTCAACATGGAAAGCAAGGTTGTCATTCTGATCTATCTACAGAACCAACTTGACCTTGAGCTTGTCGCCCTGGACAATTTCTTCCTTCCGAGCCATCAACTCTGCCACATCCCAGGTGGCACTCAAATAGCGTCCAGCCAGCCAAAGCTGTTTCTCCTGAGTTAGCCAGACAATTGTATCGGCGCACAATTCTGGCGAGTCCACCAGCTTTACCTTCGTGTCCTCGGGCAATCTCGACGCTAACTCAGTATCCACGGCGCCCGGGTGAATGGCAAAGGCCAAAACTCCCTGAGCAGCGTACTCAACAGAAGTGAACTGCGTCAAGCGCAAAATCGCTAATTTCCCGGTCTGATAGGCCGAGGCACCGGGCCGAGTCAGGTGGGCGCCGATGGAGTTCATATTGATAATGGTCTTTTCGCCCCCTAACAAAAGGAGGGGCAGCATGGCCCTCGTCACGAGGTATGTGCCCTTTACATTGACCTCCCATGTCGACCACCAAGATTTGGGATCCGTCTCCGCAAGTGGAACCCATTTCTCAACGCGACCAGCATTGTTAACTAAGATGTCGAGAGAGCTGAACGCCCGCTTGACCTCGGCGGCTGCATCGGACACACTCTGCTCATCCGAGACATCTAGCGCCAGCTTGAGGATCTGAGGTGGTGGATGGCCTGCGGACTTTGCAGCGTCGAGCACCGCTGTCTCGACTGCGTCGAGGGAGGATCTTGCTCCGAGTGCGATGGAAGAGGCACCGGCTTGAGCGAATGCAATCGCTATCGCGCGGCCGATGCCCTTCGATGCACCGGTCACGAAGACAGCTCGTCCATGCTGCTTACATCTGGTCGCTGTGATGGTAGGGTAGGTGTCATTGTGTATTTTGGAGATCCAAGTAAATCCTATTTATATAGAAGTTAACGATAAGATATTTTCTCTGCCACACATTGGACAAGGACAACGACAAGGGTGCGAGACGTACCAGCGGACGGTGGAAAAGCCATTATGCTTGTGTTGCAATGTAACCTGGATTATCAGTGGTGTGACATGCATGTTTACGTGTTTTTATATACAACATAGAGCTGGCTACGGTGCATGAGTCGTACTTCTTGCTGGAAACAGTTGGCGCAATCGAATTAGACAGCCTTGTGAAGGCCCACATATGCAGTGATCATGGACCCCCGGAGTATTACGTCTGGATTATCTCCAATATCGCAGGGTACATGGAGATGCAATATATTTCGAATGATATTATTAATTCAATGTCTCGTGGACGGAGTATACCTCGGGAGTCGGACTGGATCGCATGATGGATTCGGATAAAAGAGACCCGAGCGAGATATTCCGCACCCGACTCGGATAAACTCTGGTCTTGAATTCGAACAAAGAAGCAAGATTGCTAATCAGAATGCAGCCAATTGATAGGATCGTTCATCATGGAAACAACTATGGAGTACGGAGTAGCTACCTAGGTACACCGATGATTGTGATGGCACAGAGCATGGATCATAAAGGGGTCGATTGGGAACACTGGCGTATAAAAAGCGGCCTCAAGTAGATCGGATTTACTTGATAATCATCAAAATCATCAAAATCATCAAAATCATCTTTCAACTAACACACTAATTGATCTCACTCTTACCCCTCGGCATTATGTCTGTTATTCCTCCCGTTGGTACCCCCGTAGGGCTTGAGATCCCTGCGAAGGACGTGGCTCGCGGTAAGTTGTCCCGGTTCTAAATATCCGACAAAAAACCAAAGCTAATGCTTTGTAGGAGCTGCATTCTACAAGGCGGTCTTCAACTGGACCTTTGCTACTTCCACCATGGGGTTCCCCGCGCACAAGCTCCAAACCTTTGAAGTCCCTGGCGGCATTATGCCCATCGGAGGTGCCATGCGCCTGGTGGAAGAAATCCCAACTGGCACGGGCGCCACCAAATTATACCTCTATGTCAATGACATTGTTGCTGCCCTTGAGGTAAGTGACTTGAATATTGAGACGCGAGACTGATCGGCTAATGAATGCTAGGCCATTGAAAAGAACGGAGGCAAGAAGGCGAGCGAGGTTATCCCCGAAGGCGACAAGGGGCTGTTCCAGTACTTTGAGGATAGCGAGGGCAACAACTTTGCCATCTACACTTACAACAAGTGAGTTGCTGGAAGCAGCGCTTTTGAGAAATCATTGGGAGATGGACCTGCATGACCGAGAAGGACCTGGAGGTATGCTGTTTGTAAGAGCAGGGTGAAATCTTCCCGTTAGAAGGGCTCAATATCAAATTAACGATATGGTTCTGTGAAATTGACTTGGGGTCGGCCAAGACCAGCTCGTACGTCGACCTAATCCCTTCCAACGGCTTGGATTCCGAAGTAGGGAGAGAGTAGTCGGAAGTAGTAGCCGGACATAGTAGGTGGAGATAGCACGGAGTAAGAGGCGTACCGAAGAGATGATCCGGAGGATTATTGCGTTTATTGACCAGATTGCTTGAACTCCACCAGAAACGGCTCATAAACTCCTCAGGCAAGGCTCGCTGGGGGCCTTGTCTTTCCCGCAAACGCTGTACTATTAAATGTCGTCGAGCTATAAGTAAACGAACCACCCCGAGATTGGAGCCCTCTAGAGCACATGAAACACAATGGCCGAAACAGCAACTGGAATCCTCAAAACCCTTCCTGCAGTGTGCGAATATGACTGGTCCTGCAAGGACCTTTCCAAGCGCTTTACAGTGGTTAATCCTGCGACGGGAGAACCCATAACTGTCATCCAGGCCGGAAATCTGGACACAGTGGATGGAGCCATCCAGGCGTCACAAAAGGCATTCGAGTCATGGCGGTGGAAGACTCAACGGGAGCGGTCACTCTATCTCTTACAGGCGGCCGACGAGATTCAGAAGCACAGCCATGAATTGGCCGTCTTGTTGTGCCTCGAGAACGGGAAACCGGTGAAAGACGCTTCATTTGATATAACTTTTTTAGTGCAAGTATTCCGATACTTCGGATCGATCGCCGACAAGTTACCTTCGGAATTTTTCGACCAAGGAAATATCTACTCTAGCGTGATCTATGAGCCCCATGGAGTGTGCGTGGGCATCTTACCGTACAACTGGCCCCCGGTACATGCAGGGGGGAAACTGGCGCCGTGTCTAGCAGCGGGCAATACCATGGTGCTAAAGCCCGGCGAGCAAGCCCCCTTGACGCTGATGCGGATTGTTGAGATCCTGCAGTCCGTGTTCCCCGCAGACGTTGTCCAAGCAGTTCCGGGACTGGGTCCTGAAATCCCGGAGGCCTTGATAAATCATCCGCTTGTCAAGATGGCCTCGCTGACAGGATCCACCGTATCGGGCTCTAAGGCTGCTCAAACTGCAGCGGTGACTCTGACCCCCACGGTGCTTGAATTGGGTGGGAAGAATGCCTTTGTGGTCTTCGAGGACGCCGACCTCGAGTTGGTCGTACGCGACACCATCGATGGTGCTTTCTTCAACAAGGGCGAATCATGCACCGCCGCATCGCGGATTCTGGTGCACAAGAATCTGTATCCGATCTTTGTCACTCGCCTGACGACGGCTGTGAAGAAACTGCGAACAGGCGATGGCTTCGACGAAACGACGCACGTCGGTCCTGTAGTCTCTCGGGAGCGCCAGCAGGAGATACTGTCATACATTGAGCAAGGTAGACGTGAAGGGGCGACTCTATCCGCCCAAGGAGACCTGCCCACGGCAAGCCATCTGTCGGGAGGATTCTATGTCGCTCCTACGTTATTTACGGACGTAACGGCGGAAATGAGCATTGCACAGGCGGAGATCTTTGGGCCTGTTGTGACGGTTGGTTCTTTTGAAACGGAGGAAGAAGCCGTGAACATCGTCAATTCTTCCCAATATGGCCTTTTTGCAGGGGTATACTCTGGAGACTTTAGTCGCGCCATGCGGGTCACTCGGAAATTGGACGTTGGGGTTGTATTGGTCAACAACTACTTTCGTGGCCTTTTGGGTACGCCATTTGGGGGCGTCAAGGGCAGTGGATATGGAAGGGAGCATTGGATTGGCACCTTGAGGGAATGGAGTCGGATCAAAAACGTCCGCTTCCCCAGTGGTCTGGGCCCTATACCAGCTTGGGGTGGCGCAGTGGATGTATGCAAGTAGCAATCTCTGATAGGTAATTGGATTAAATTGGCAACGGAAGGATTTGCTTGAATATTTGCAGGAATGAATCCTTCCGCCCCCAGGCGCATATCCTTCCCTGATTCCCTGATCCTTCTTATTACACGATGCTCAGGTGTATAGGCCCTTCGTCTATTTGATAAACATGGACCTCTTGATAGGAATGGCAAAATATGCCAATACCTACTGCTGCTGGTCTAGGTGCCTTCATATCTGCTTATATCAGCACACGATGATGCCCGCAGGTGCCCCCCAGGTGGAGCCCTGGGGTCCACGGGTGGACTGCCCAGGTGTACCAAGGTGAGCGGGATCAAGTACTAACCAGTAAGCACTAGATATCGCGATGCTTAACTAGTGGATGCGTACGGACGGGTAATTTGGAGAGGTGCGTAATTTGGCCCCAACGCCTCATAGTTACATTGATGGATGGAAATTCGGAATCCGGGCTGACATGCTGGCATTTCCCCTCTTGTTTAGATAATCACGGCAGAAGATAGTTTGATGGATATTGGAGAACAAAGAGATTTATGAATGGGAATATAACACGTCAAAGGAGGTTGAAGAAATCGCGTTAAGATTCCCTACACTAACTGATCAGATCAGGTGACCTGTCTTTGTTGGAACTCGAGACCTCACAACATCGCTGTGTTCCCATCCCATAATGCTCTCTCATCAGATGGCTCCCACCGCACATACACATACCTCCCAACCTACCAGACAGCGACAACGAACAGGAAGAGCATGTGAGGAGTGCCGGCGACGCAAGCTACGATGTGATGCACTGCAACCGCGGTGCGGGGTCTGTGTGGAAGCAGGTATAACATGCGAAGTCAATAGCCAACGGCAGCCGAGGGGCCCGAAGAAGGGCTACTTGAAGGCATTGAGAAATCGAGTCGGTACATATGCGATGTCTGCAGCCTGTTATTACGCTGGTTTTAACTGAGATCTATTTTAGCAATGCTCGAAAATCGTCTACCGACCCAGCATCACCCTGGGCCCTTGCCTGAGCCCAACCCATTGTCAATTCCCTTGAACGACGACCATCATGATGGCTGGAGTGTCTCTAGCGTGTCGAGCCGTTCCGACTCAAATCCGCCTCCGTTGATCATGGAAAGTACAACCGTCTCCGAGCCAGATATATCCATATTGAACTCGATGTCGAGGTTCGGTTCGGCTCCGTCATTGGGCATGTACGGGAAAGATATCTGTGGGATCGAGCCGATATCAGAGTTCATGCAGGCGGAATTGTGAGTGGGTCGCGCCCCTCATTGCAAGGTTATGGCTGATGGTTGTGCTAGAACCCAACTATATTTTGACCGAGTGCACCCATCCGTCCAGATACTTCACCAGCGTCGTTATTTAGGATGGGCCAGAAGCGCCTCAAAGAAGATATCTCGTCGATGTCTGCAGTACGCGGTATGGACACTGGCCTCCCTCCTGTCCGCGCAATTTCAACATCTTCAAGACTCCTTCTACCAGGAAACAAAGCGGTCTTTAGAATTCTCCTATCTATCGGGAGACTCCGATAATTTGGTTGACACAGAAGAGATTCAAGCATGGATTTTGATAGCAACGTATGAGTCAATGCGGACTTTCCATCGCTCTGCGTGGATGAGTGCCGGACGCGCCTTTCGTCTGGTTCAGTTAATGCGACTGCATGAAATCGACAGTCCTACGAACCCCCCTGTAGCCGATGCAGACCTGATCGAGACAGAGGAAAAGCGTCGGGTGTTTTGGATGGCCTACTTCTTGGATCACTTATTGAGCATGCGCAATAATTGGCCGATCACCTTGAACGAGCATGTGGTAGGGCTTCGATATCTTCCTAACACATCAAGATAAAACCAAATGGTTCAGCTGATTAATAATCTATGGCCAGATCTGCACCCGTCTTCCAGCTCCAGACATGGAATTCCAAAACGGTCAGCCGGTGCTAGGTGCCTTCCTTTCGGAAGCGATCATGGACGTTATGCCGCAGACAACATCGCCATTCAACGAATGCGCCATTTTGGCTACCATATGCGGGCGCAGCCTGTTTCAGGCCCAGCAATACAGTGTTCGCTTTGTGTATGGCGACATGGCTCCCAACTGGACCGATCAGCACCAATGGCTGGACAACGTCCTTACCAATCGGCTTCAGATTCTTTCCCAACACTACCCCTCGCCAACCCAAGTCTGCGACCCGATGCTCTCGTTCGCACACATTATGGGACAGGCAAGTGTGATTCATCTATACAAGGGCATGGAATCGATTGTGTGGGCAGTCAACGAGGGAGCATTAGTGTTAGAATATCGGCGGCGTGCGCTGAGTGCAGCGCAGGAGATCGTCAAGCAAGCAAAAGGACTGATAGAGTTCTACTTCTTCAAGGTATGCCACACTGCATTACTACTTCAGCTGACTTGGGGCATGACTATCTTTACGCACCGCGAACGTACTAATTATAAAACAAGCAGGTCCATCCTCTCATGCCCATCCCATTGTTACTCTGCGTCGAATTCCTCTACAGTAATCGAGGGTCAGACGCGGCATTTAACTCGCTACTTCAAGAGCTTCTACAGATTTTCCGTCAACTCAAGAATCCTAACGATCCAACTCAAAGCTATATACATCTTTTAGAACTTTCATGTACTAATGCGTCGATTGACTTGGTTAAAGAAAACTCCACTTCATCGTGATTATACGAATGGCTGTTGGATAATATATACAAATACTGATCGAATGAAGAAATTATTGAGCTCACATTGATTATTATTGGGAAAGGCTGAAACTTATGTTTATTTCCCGCTGAGAACAGAGAACAGAGCAAGCACTTGAGAAGTTGGTAAGATCACTTTGCCTTGGTGTTATAAGTGGTGGTCGTACGCTCCAACATGTGTTCCTCCACAGTGAGCACATTTTCTTCATCCTGATCCTGCTCAACACGATCCAGCGGCCGCAACTTGTAGTCCAGGTTGCCATCGAAGAAAAACACTACACTGTACCGATCGGTCAAGTTCTTATTGATGACACGGTGAATGCTACTCTTGTAATGACCCCTGGTGATTCTGCTCATCATGTCTCCCAGATTCACCACGTAAGCGTCGCTTTTCGGAGGAACCCCAATCCAGTCCCCCGTTTCGCGGTCCTGGACCTCAAGCCCGGGATGATCATCTTGCAGGAGAAGTGTGATGGCTCCAAAGTCCGTATGGGCACTACTGCCCAGCTGACGACCCTTGACCACGTCTGGGGCAGGAGTGGGTGGATAGTGAAGCAGTCGAAGCGGGCACGCAGGGTCATTTTCCTTGAACTCGTCGAACACATGGGGCCCATACGGCAACGTGGCCGCGACAAGGTCTAACACCGCCCAGCACAGCTTCATCATGGCTTGGTAGTATTCTTCTACGGGACGGCGGAAGTCTGTCTCCGGCAGTAGCTCGCCTGGCGGCCATGCGTTTTGTCCCATGAAAAACCTCCGGCTCATCACTCGTGGATCGTCGAGGGGAATGTCTGTCCCGGAAATGAAGCTTTCTTTGAGGTCTGGGAGTACTCCCGGCTCGTACGATTGCGAGGCCATGGGGTCGTACCCTCGGAAGCCGACGTTCCTGCAACTTGATTTTACGTCGGTGGGAAGTGCAAAGAACTTGGCTGCAGCAGCAAAGACGGACCGCTGCAGTTCCGGGGATATTCCATGCCCGAGGAGTTGGAAGAAGCCCGTAGAAGTGCATGCAGCTCGCACATCGTTGATTACTTTGCGTGCGCCATCACTATTCGGGTCTTGCAGATACGGACTGATGTCAACAGCCGGTAAATAGAAGGATGATTTGGTTGGTACGGGCATATTATCGAACTGTTCGAAGGTACTCCTTCAGGCTATGGAAAGAGAGAAAACAACGAACCGGGCCTAGTGCAGTGGTTGCTTGCTATATAGACTCATTTCCGTGCCATTTCGTGGTCATCATCGGTCGAAACGGCTTATTGAAATGTCTGCTAGAATGGCCTGGTCCCGTCGGAGAAACAACCCAGATCCATGAACCAATCAGGCGAGCAACAAGCAAGTGAGATGGACAAAGCTATCGGATATTCTCTATCGGAAAATCCTTCAGGGATCCATCAGGATTCGAAAATGCAACTAGTCTCAATTGGTATTGGGTGCTCTTGACGCTTATCTTGCATTGTGGAATGGCAGATTAGGTCTGGCTCACTGGCTTTGTACTATATCTGCTCAGTGCTCCCTGTTAAGCTTCCCACACCCCGAAGCTCTTGTTTGGGGTAGGCTCATAACTCCTACTAAGCCTTGATACCCTCTTGCCATAATGGCCGAGACAAATTTCGAGGCAGTCGATGACACTTTACATCTTCCACGAATCCTTTGTTTTCACGGCGGGGGGTCTAATGCTATCATCTTCAAATCCCAGTGTCGCCGGCTTATTGCCCAACTTAGATCCGATTTCCGGTTTGTCTTCGCGCAAGGACCATTTTTATCTGACGCTGGGCATGATGTGATGTCGGTGTACAGTCAATGGGGTCCGTTCAGGCGTTGGCTCCGTTGGCGCCCCGACCACCCTGATATCCGGCCGGAAGATGCCATCCGAGCGATCGACGACAGTGTGGAGGACGCAAAGCGCCAAGATGACGCCAAAGGAGCTACAGGATTGTGGGTGGGACTGCTTGGATTTAGCCAAGGCGCGAAGACCTGCGCTAGTCTCCTTTACCGCCAACAAATCAGACAGGAACTACTAGGACGACCGTTCGCCGGTTCGGACTATCGTTTTGGAGTTCTGTTGGCTGGCCGTGCGCCGTTAGTATGCTTGGATCTGGACTTAGACCTGGGTTCGTCTTTGCCTGATGTGTCGCAGATTACGGATGCAAAATACCACGGTCCGAGCCGGGACGTTCTACGCATCCCCACAGTACATGTACATGGGATGTTAGACCCGCATGTGGATCTTCACCGTCAGCTGTTTGAAGAGTTCTGTGCCCCGGAAAGTAAGAGGCTGGTAGAGTGGGATGGTGATCATCGGGTTCCGCTGAAGTACAACGATGTCTCGCTCGTTGCCTATCAGATTCGAGAACTTGCAATGCAGACAAATGCTCACTAGTCTGGTACTATGTTGGAATTTATTGCGAGTTAAATTATGCAGATATGATTTGTTTGGAGTGGCGCAAGTGTTAGAGATGTTCTAGGGTATGTTGCTGCACAGATAATTGTATAGAGACACACTATATTCAGACATTCCAAACTTGTGTAAATGGTGCTGCCTAGGTGCTTTACCAATTGGTTTATTCGAATGATATCTCACCATTTGACCTGGGCTTGTCAAGATAAGTCCTGTAGTTGCAAGCAACACTCCCACTCTAACACGAGCCACTGCTCGGAAAGTTCAAAATGTTCGTCAAGGGAGATTAGGCACACTCGGCTATAGTAACCTTTTCAAGGCTTACGGATACTTCACAAGTTTACCTGCATGATATTGTTCGCTCTGCCGTTTATTTTTCCGAGTATATACTTGACAGAGACCACTATTCACCGCACGTGCATGAGTAGGTGCAGCCTTTACATCCCCACATCCTAAGGGGGTGGTCTATTCATAGCCAATATATCGTATTTCGTCAAATAGCAGTAAGAATATTGGAAAATCACACGTGCTGGCATGCCTTCAGGGCTAAAGCTGACTCTTACGGATCCTGCCGTACTTTTGCACACTAGCCTAGATCTCGGGTATATCTCACTGATTCCTGTCTTTTGGGGGCGTAAGATACAATATATCGGATTAATTCCTCGGAGTAACTTCACTGCTTTAAAGCAAATTCTGAAGGATTTCTACGTTCAAGGCCTGTCTACCAAGCCTACGGAGCACATGGCGGTAGGTTACACATGTGGTGCATGTCAACAGAAGTTTATCGACATCCGAAGACGAAGTGGTATGCATGCGGACTAACTATCCGGAATAATGTGGTGTTGTAGCTGGAGTTTGAGCCTTTCAGTTGATCTTGACACATGTGCAGGGAGCCTTGGAAGTGCAGTGGGTACTGCATCCAGGGCTCAGTGTCATATATACCTAGAGTTGTTGCCGTATAGGAGATCACGAAACTATCTCTCATCACATTGTATATCGTGCTTGTGAGATATATCTCCCAGTGCTCTATTCTTTTCAACATCAGAATTCATCTTCTCTCAGCCAGCTTCAACTGCAGGTATCAGTCATGCCTGACTCAACTTCTCATCCACACCTGAGACCCAAGGCCTTCATATTCGGCCCGCAAGATTTGTCTTTCGATATCGAGTCCTTCACAAAGCTTTGCAGCCAGCTTCATGACCATAATTGGGCCCTTGACGCACTCGCCAGCCTTCCAAAGCTCTGGGACAACTTTGCCGCCAGTGACCTGGCGGTACAGCAATCTAACACAGGGAAGCTACTTGAGAACCTGAATACATGGGTTTTGAGTGCGACAGCCCCAGAGGAAGCGTTTCCTTTGCCAAATGTGCTTCTATCCCCACTTGTGGTCATCGGACAAGTGATTGAATATATCACTCTTCTCAGGGCGGCGTTTCCAGATCTAGGGGAGAAGGAGGAGCTGCCCAAGCCCATTACGGAAGATACAGAGACTTTAGGCCTCTGCACCGGCACCTTGAGTGCTTTAGCAGTGGCATGTTCCTGCAATGTAGCCGATATTCATCATTACGGCGCGGTAGGCGTGAGACTGGCAATGTTGGTCGGAGCCACCGTTGATGCCGAAGAGGCGTTATATGATCCAGAAAGAAAGTCAACGAGTCTTTCAGTGTCGTGGAACAGCGCCGAATTTGGCGACTCGTTTGCCCATGTCCTCGAGGAATTCCCTGATGTATGTCTTGATGACTCGCATTCACACCACAGCAAAACACTAATCGACATCCTTTAGGCATACGTTTCCGTTCTTGTTGACCAGAGACGTGCAACATTGACCGCATCGAAGAAAACGGCACCAGCTCTGATCAAGCGGTTGAAGCAGGAGGGCGGTCATGTCACGCCAATAGCGCTTTCGGGACGATTCCACTGGAAGAAGCACCAAAATGCCGTATCTAGTCTCCTTCAGTTCTGCGAAACTGAACCAGCTTTGAAATTTGCCGATACGCCAAAGATGCTACTCCCTAGTCGATCCAGTACCAATGGGCAATATATCAGCACTGGAAAGCTCCACGAGGTAGCTTTGCGGGCAATTCTCTTGGAACAGTCCCAGTGGTACAAAACATGCTTTATCGCGTATGCGGCAAGATTCATTATCAAGGATGCAGCGGTTATTTGTTTTGGGTCAGAGCGGTTCGTATCACCGACGATTGCACGGAAGCTTGGTCTACGCCTGACATACGTATCCGAAATTGACCTCGCATCGTCACGGTTGCCCCGCCAGGTTCTTGGTGGAGCGCAAACGCCTAACCTCGAAGATTTGCCCGATGAGCGCATAGCCGTTATTGGAATGGCGTGTCAGCTTCCGGGTGCCGGAGACCACGAGGGATTCTGGGAGATTCTAAAAAGTGGCCAGTCGCAACATAAAGAGGTGCCTGAGGATCGGTTCAGCCTGGCGACGGCATGGAGAGAAGCGGACAAACGCCAATGGTACGGGAACTTCATCGAAAATTACGACACTTTCGATCACAAATTCTTCAAGAAGAGCCCCAGAGAAATGGCATCCACGGACCCTCAGCAACGCCTAATGTTGCAGGTTGCATATCAGACTGTCGAACAATCCGGATACTTCAGAGACGATGGCCCTAATCGTCGTATTGGATGCTTTATGGGTGTTGGCAATGTCGATTATGAGGACAACATTGCGTGTTACCCTGCGAATGCGTATTCGGCTACTGGCAACCTGAAGAGCTTTCTAGCCGGCAAGATTAGCCACCACTTCGGCTGGACAGGACCCAGCCTGACACTTGACACGGCATGCTCTTCATCCAGCGTGGCTATTCACCAGGCGTGTCGTTCTATCCTTAGCGGGGAATGTAATGGGGCACTCGCCGGGGGTGTCAATGTTATAACGAGCCCCGATTGGTATCACAACCTAGCTGGAGCATCTTTCCTCAGCCCTACTGGTCAATGCAAGTCATTTGACGCGAAAGGAGATGGGTATTGCAGGGGTGAAGGCGTTGGTGCCGTGTTTTTGAAACGGCTTTCCTCGGCAATCGCGGATGGTGATCAGGTACTTGGTGTGATCGCGAGTACAAAGGTTTATCAAAACCAGAACTGCACTGCAATTACTGTTCCAAACTCGGGGTCTCTATCGGAGCTCTTTACGGATGTTGTGCGTCAAGCAAGGCTCGAGCCCCGAGATATTTCTCTTGTTGAGGCACACGGAACAGGAACTCCCGTTGGAGATCCAGCTGAATACGATGGCATTCGAGCTGTTTTTGGAGGCCCTATACGCTCCGATATTCTGTCGCTAGGATCCGTGAAGGGTCTTCTTGGTCACAGTGAATGTGCTTCGGGTGTGGTCTCTTTGATAAAGATTCTCCTCGTTATTCAGCAAGGCTTTATCCCACCTCAGGGGAGCTTCTCGAAAATCAATCCTTCCCTCAATGCGAAAGATAAGGATAGAATTGATATATCTACCCGCTTAAAGCCTTGGGATGCACCATTCAAAGCTGCACTCATCAACAACTATGGGGCTTCCGGATCCAATGCCTCTATGGTTGTTACACAACCACCAAAGCTGAAAGAGACCCTCTTGGCGCCATTGCCGGAGAAGAACTATCCTTTTTGGATCAGTGCATTTGATCAACAGAGCCTTCAAAATTACGCTAGGAGATTGCGCCAATTTGTTCAGGGACATGTAGCAGATAAGAGCCTAAGCTTGGCAAACTTGTCTTTCCAAGTTGCCTGTCAATCAAACCGGTCCCTTCCCCAGGCCCTGATATTTAATGCCAGCACAAAGGAAGAGCTGGATATGGTCCTTGCATCTGCCGAGAAAGCTAGCACGGATTTCCCGTCTGTCCAGCTTCCGGATCCGAAGCCCGTCATCCTATGTTTTGGAGGGCAAGTTTCCACCTATGTTGGCTTGGATCAAGAGGTCTATGATAGCACTGCAATTATGAGATATTACTTAGACCAGTGCAATGCTGTGTGTCTCTCATTTGGTCTGCAGGGGATTTACCCAGCCATTTTCCAACGCTCTCCAATCGAGGATATTGTTCAGCTTCAAACAGTACTGTTTGCGATGCAGTATTCCTGCGCCAAGGCGTGGATCGATAGCGGAGCAAATGTTGCCTCGGTCGTCGGACACAGCTTTGGTGAGCTGACAGCTCTATGTGTCTCCAATGTTGTATCATTGCAGGATGCTGTCAAGATGATCTCCGGTCGAGCTCGCTTGATCAAGGAGCGATGGAGTTCTGACAAAGGATCCATGATGGCTGTCGAGGCAGATCTCTCTGATGTGGAAGCCTTGCTGGCGAAAGTCAAATTACAGATTGGATCTGAAGCAGGAGTTGCAATCGCCTGCTATAATGCATCAAGAAGCTTCACATTGGCTGGGCCTACAAAAGGCGTGAATCATGCTGAAGACCTGCTGAAGAATGACCCAGAGTTCTCAAGAATCCGATCTAAGAAACTGAACGTCACTAACGCCTTCCATTCGGCTCTTGTTGATGAATTGATCGATGATCTGGAGAGCTTGGGGCAAGGTATCAAGTTCAGGAAGCCAACAATATATATTGAAACAGCAACGGAGCAAGTGTCAACTAGCACATTCAATTCCAGTTATGTGGCCAGTCATATGAGAAAACCAGTTTTCTTTGCCCATGCAGTCAAGAGATTATCAGACAAATTCCCTGCTGCCACTTGGTTAGAGGCCGGTTCAAACTCCACCATCACAGCCATGGCAAGTCGGGCTCTGGGTACTCCAAACTCCTCTTTCCTGGCTGTGAATATTACCAGCGAGGGTGCATTCCAATTTCTCTCTGAAACGACTATAAAGCTCTGGAGGGAAGGTCAGAAAGTCAGCTTCTGGGCTCACCACCGCCTGCAGACTGCAATGTATACTCCAGTCCTTTTGCCGCCGTACCAATTCGAGAAGTCAAGACACTGGATGGATCTGAAGGTGCTTCCAAAGCCCGAAGCTTCTGCCAAGGTGACGGAGCAGCCCGCACTTATCGAGGCACCGAAGGGCCTGACAACTTTGGTCGGTTATCAAGATGCATCCCAGAGGTCTGTGCAATTCAGAGTCAATGTCACGACAGATAAGTTCAACCGTCTCCTTTCCGGTCATATCATGGCAAATACATCTGCTGTCTGTCCCGGTATGTTCCAGGTTGAGGTAGCTCTTGATGCTCTTATGAGCCTTCGACCAGAGTTCCAGAACCGTAGCTTTATTCCAGAGCTACATGGTCTAAGGCATTATCAGCCTCTTGTCAAAGACGACTCCCGGGCAGTCTGGATCGAAGCGCAATCCTTCGATGCGGAAGGTCTGGTCTGGAATTGGAAGCTGACTGCAACTGACGATAAGGGAAGTGGCTTTGTGACCCACACTTCAGGGACAATCACATTCCAAGCGGCAGACAGTGTGCAAGTCAAGACTGAGTTTGAGAAACTTAGACGTCTAATCGGCCGAAAGCGGTGCTTGCAACTCCTTGATGGCAATGTGGCGGACGACATCCTGCAGGGCCGCAACATCTATCGCGCTTTTTCAGAAGTGATCGACTATAAGGAAATCTATCGCCATGTTACAAAGATCGCTGGCAGCGAGAATGAGTCCGCAGGAAGGATCACGAAGAAATACGACGGAGAGACCTGGCTCGACACCGTCTTGACGGACTGCTTCTGCCAAGTGGCAGGTATCTTTGTGAACCTCATGACTACCAAGGTCGACTTGTCTGAGAGGGGCATTTTCATTTGCGATGGAATTGATCGGTGGATGCGAGCACCGAATGCAGATGCAAACGATGCTCCTTCACACGTTTATGAAGTATTTGCTTTGCACCATTGCGAATCAGAGTCCAAGTATCTCAGCGATATTTTTGCTTTCGATGCTCGTGATGGGTCACTTGTTGAATTTGCTCTTGGTATTAGTTACCAAAAGGTTCCAATCTCCGGAATACGCAGGGTACTGTCGAAGGCTATGCCAGTTGGTCTTCAGCCACAAGTTCCTACTGTCCCTGTTACAGTGCCTGCCCCCAAGATATTCAGCCATACTCCAGTGGCAGCCCCACCATTGGTGAATGGCTCGTCTACTGCGGTGAAAAGTAAACCCCCGACAAAGAAAGCGCCAAAGGCAGCCAGTGTAGACATCGCTAAAAAGATGCGGGAGATCATATGCAATTTATCTGGTCTTGAACCAGAAGAAGTCAAAGACAACTCTGATTTGGTCGAGCTTGGAATCGATTCATTGATGAGCATGGAACTAGGCCGAGAGATTGATTTGGCTTTCAAGACCACTGTCGACGTCACTCAGTTGATCGATGTAACTGACTTCCGCAGTCTTGTGGAGTGCATGCAAAAGATTCTGGGCATTGAAGACGCCGAAACAAATGAAAAAGCTGTGACTAATGGAAATACCCATCATATCAACGGCACAAATGGTGTCGTCAATGGCAGCGGTCTCTTGTCTCCTGAGGAAGGGGGTTCCCTCCTCTCAGAATCGGCAATCCTGGATGCCTTCCGCATCGCGAAGGAAGCCACCGATGACTTCATTTTGAATGGCCAACTTGGAACATACTACAATGAAATCATGCCAAGATCGACTGAGCTCTGTGTTGCCCATATTGTCAATGCTTTTGAACAGCTCGGATGTCCGATACGCAGTGCAGCAGCGGGCCAGAAACTTGAGCGTGTTACATACCTTCCAAAACATGAACGATTCATGAACTTGATCTACGGTCTTCTCGAGGACTCCAGATTAATTGACATCAATGGATCTGAGATCACGCGAACGGCCTTACCTGTTCCGACGAAAACCGTGGAAACAATGCTGGAAGAGTTGCTTCGTGACGAACCTGTCCATGCGGCCGAGCACAAACTCACATCCATGACCGGAAGTAAGTTTGCCGACTGCATTACTGGCAAGGAAGACGGGCTTCAATTGATCTTTGGGACACCCGAGGGCAGAGAAATCGCGACTGACGTCTATGCCAAATCTCCCATTAATGCGGTATGGATCCAGCAGGCGGAAATGTTCCTCGAGCAGCTCGTGCAAAGACTACCCAATACTGGTGAGCCTCTGCGCATCTTGGAGATGGGAGCTGGTACAGGAGGAACAACCGTGAAGATCCTGCCACTGTTGGAGCGTCTAGGTGTGCCCGTCGAATACACAATGACGGACCTGTCATCCTCGTTGGTTGCCGCGGCTCGCAAGCGATTCAAGAAGTATCCGTTCATGAAGTTCAAAGTAGTGAACATCGAGTCTCCGCCTGATTCACAACTGGTACATAGTCAGCACATTGTCCTGGCTACAAATTGTGTGCATGCAACTCGGAACCTGGAAGTCTCGACGAGAAATATTCACCATATTCTGCGACCAGACGGCTTCCTACTTCTATTGGAGATGACCGAGCAAGTGCCTTGGGTCGATTTCATTTTCGGCTTGCTAGAAGGATGGTGGTTATTTGAAGATGATCGGCAACATGCACTCCAACCCGCAACGCACTGGAAGAAAATTCTCACTTCCGTTGGATATGGTCACGTCGATTGGACTGAAGGTGGTCGACCAGAGTCCAATATTCAGCGCCTGATCATTGCTCTTGCGTCTAAACCCAGGTATGATGATGCACCTAAATCACTCCAACCGCCGGCGCATGTCCCATTGACAGACATCGCAGGGAACCAAGAGATCATTGATACATACATCCGTGAATATACCAAGGACTTCCACGCACTCCCCATCGCGAGTACACAGCAAGCCTCTATTCCCGCTCTCACAAGACACTGTGTGCTGGTTACTGGTGCCTCAGGAAGTCTCGGCTGCCACATTGTCGGCTATCTCGCCAGGCTTCCTAGTGTCAACACCGTAGTCTGTCTGAATAGACGGAGTACAGTGCCCGCCGTCATCCGTCAAGAGGAAGCATTAAAGGTCAGGGGAATCTCGCTCGATGACACCTCCCGGTCAAAGCTAGAGGTACTTGAAGTGGAGACCGCAAAACCATTGCTTGGGCTGCCTGTAGAGACCTATCAGAAACTCGTGAACACCGCAACCCATTTGGTTCACAACGCTTGGCCAATGAGTCTTACCAGACCCATCCGAGGCTACGAGAATCAGTTTAAGGCGATGCGGAACCTCATCACTCTTTCACGAGAGGTAGCCGCACTCCGACCGGCGCCATTCAAGTTCGGCTTCCAATTTATCTCGTCGATCGGGGTAGTCGGCTACTATCCACTTCGCTATGGGAAATCCCTTGCTCCAGAAGAGACAATGACGGCGGATTCTGTCCTGTCAGTCGGATATGCTGAAGCCAAGCTAGTTTGCGAGCGCATGTTAGACGAAACGTTGCGTCGGTATCCAGATAGATTCCGACCAATGGCAGTAAGAATCGCCCAAATTACTGGCTCAACAAGCAACGGGCATTGGAATCCAGTCGAGCATTTTTCGTTCCTGATCAAATCCTCGCAGACATTGAAAGCGCTCCCAGACTTTGATGGTAGCCTCTCTTGGTGTCCAGTCGACGATGTTGCCGCAACACTGGGCGAATTACTGATTTCTGACACAACGCCTTATTCGATCTACCATATCGAGAATCCATCGAGGCAGCCGTGGCGAAAAATGGTGAAAACACTGGCCCGGTCTCTTGACATCCCACAAAGTGGCATTATTCCTTTTGATCAGTGGATTGAACGAGTTCGAATCTCTCCGGCCTCGGTCAACGACTGCCCAGCCAAGCAATTGCTAGAATTCTTCGATCAGCATTTTATCCGAATGTCATGTGGGGGTTTGATACTAGATACGGCCAAGGCGAGAGAACATTCAGCAACTTTGCGGGAAAGGGGCCCTGTAGGCCCAGGTTTGGTGGAGAAGTATATTTTGTCGTGGAAGACCATGGGATTTCTAGATTAAGCATGCGACGGTATTTAGCTTGCAGTATGTGACGGTTCAGTCATGCTGCTATGATAGGCAACATTTGAAGATTAGTTCGATTTATTTTTAACAATTGCTACCTAGATGCACATGTGTAATCCCATTTTACCTAAGGCTTGCTCACCGTCCTTGGAGTTCATATAACCCTTCTCTTACAGCTTTGGAGAGAAGCGACTCAAGGCCCGAATCTTCGCCCCATAGAAATAGAAGATGATGGGAATCGGGATCATCGCAACAGCAAGAAAGCCGAGGAGTGACATAGCCCAGTCCACTCCCAACCTACCGTACATCGCCGACCCGAAGAGGGGGAACGCAGCACCTATCTTTTTCCCGTAGTTAGTAACAGTATATCAACGAAGAGCTGTACACTTACCATGCTTCGAATAAGAGTGTTTGCAGACAGAGCCGAATTGGCAACCACCAAATATACGTCAATCAGATAGTTCAGGCCTTGCATCCAGATCATCAAAATCCCCATTCCGATTGGCACTCCTGCAATGGCCTGTGGCACCCACGAGATACTCGGGTTCGATGTCCATCCAAACCAGAATAGCCCGATAGGCAAGAGCAAAGCCGCAACAATCATGGGGGGTAGACGATCTTCCGGTACGACGGAACCATTGTGTAGCTTAGGAGCATACCACAGGCGCGTTGCGATGGTTACAAGGAGGCAACCCAGTAGGACCCCGACTAGGATGCCCAGGAAGGGCAAGGCCGCAATTCCCAAGGAAGTCCAACCCCGGACCTCGCGAAAAGCGATTGGGTATGCCACGAAGAAGAGGTACAATATACCATAGATAAGCGAGATGTAAAGAGTCATGCAGACGAGGATCGGCTCCGAGAAAAGCATCTGAAGCGGACGGAAGAGATATTTTGTCAAGATTTGGCTAAACGTCGGCGTGCTTTCATCCAGGCGGGAATGATAGGCCCACATGCGTGTCTCATTACGGAGCCGACTGGCACGGCGCTGGAGGAGAACGGGGTGGTATGTCTCGGGTAGGATGAGAAAAGCGATCGTGCCGAAGAATGCGGCTGGGATCATGGTGATCCAGGCAGTCCAGCGCCATCCCAGAGCTGAGTCGACGATAAATCCTCCACTGCCCATGTAATGATCAGCCCACGTTTAGACCCCATTTACCAACAACATTATCATCAATCAAAATCACGTACACGATTGGTCCGAATATCGGCCCAACGAAGGTAGCCGCGGAAAATAAAGAGACGGCAATGGCGCGCTCCACTGGACCCCAAAAGTCTGCCAGAGCACCAGGAATGATTGCAAGAGCGGAGGTACCAAAAAACCCCAGCAAGAAACGTGCAAGCATCACGGTTTCGAGGTTCTGCGCAACCGCCACGGGAACCTGGAAGATGATAAAGATGGCGTATCCGATATAGAGAGGCCTTAGTCGGCCATATAACTCCGACATAGGTCCCCAAATCAGTGGTCCCACTGCAAAGCCCTGTATATCAAGGTTAGCGTCGTGGCCGAGCCTTCATTGCGTGTTATTGTTTTTTACTTACCAGCACGGTCAAACTGGTTCCTAAAGTCATGACCTCTTTTGAAACATGAAACTCTTTGGAAGTGACCGTGGTCGCAGCACTAAAGACACTACTGGAGAAGGTCACCCAGATGGTCAATGTGCTGAAGATGCAAGTGATGAGCGATTTCCTCCAAAAGGGAAAGTTCATGGGAAGTTCTGGATCATCAGGCCCATCCCATTCAACCAAGTAAATATCCGCGTCACTGGGCTTCTCGCCAGATGAATGATCTCGGGCATTCTCCAAATCGGCGACAGAAGCGTTCGTCGAAATTGGGGTGTCAATTGCATCCTTCATCTTTGGATGATAACTCGTGTTTTGGTGTTGATACAGTGGACTGACAAGATGCCAATGAAAAAGAGGTCGACATGATATAGATGCGAGAAAGGGCCATTTTTACTGTAATGGTTCATAAGAGCAGACTTACTTGTACAACAGAAAGGAGCATTCATCTGTAGAACCGTTTATCCGTGGTCGAGATACTGTTTTCCCGAGCCGAAAGTTTATCCGATTGGTCAACAAAGATGCTTATAGATCCTACTTGGTCAGCCATGGATGCAAGGGGGTATGCCACCTATAGGTTGGATCGGAAGCATGATGTTCGTGCAGACTCTATCAGCATATTGCAGAATAGGTCAACTGTGGTGATGACACAAGGTTAGCAACGAGTATCATACTGTGCTTTCAGATGACATACTTTTAGTACATATACCAATGAGTGCACAGGTGATTTCAAATGCCTATTGAGTGCCGTGCTTTATTGCACCGTATACGGCACTGTAATTATCCGTGATTTTATATCTAGCGGCTTCTAATGTTGGGGCGTAAACGTCAATGGCCACGGCACTAGGTACGGATATTCTACGGCGGCCCTCAACTTAGTGCAGTGCATTAAATAAAGGAGCTCTTTAAACCCAAATCACACAATGAGGTTAATTAGTAAATGTGTCGCTTCGTGTATTTTTGAAGTATTGACTGGCATTTGGTATCTGACCAATAGAAACGGGCCGGTCTCAAGATATCGTCTGAAGATGGAATTTATAAAACCCCTGAGAATATTGACCTTACCTGGCTTACTCGTCTTTGTAAGTTCCACTTATGTAGGTCATGTGCCCCAGTGGTCCGGCGACCGGTATTTGCTGAATATAAATTCTACAAACTAGTGCTGGTGGATATCCACATGTCGGAGCTTCGTGCGGAGGTGAGGATCCTCTTTGGTTAACAGATCCCCTGTCTGTTGATTGTCATATTGTACCTCAAGACCACATTGGTAATCGAGTTTGACCCCGTGGAGTAGACGATTCAACCAGCTAGTGGGCTTAGCTGCTTTGGTGAGAGCTAAAATTCAGCTTCTGTGGTGGAGGTGGTAACCGTACGCTGTTTGGTTGCCTTTCAATCGATCGCTCCACCAAATAGTTCACAAAGGAAGCCCACGGAGCTCTTTCGATGTTTGTGGTCGCCAAGGGATGCATCACTGGCAAACTGTAGCGCTTGATCACCTGAATTGGCCGATTGATACATTGTTCCGTAGAACCGGGTGGAATACAAATGTTGCATCGACCGGCTGACTGTGTCAATATGGTGTGGACCAGAATTTGTGAGAAACTCGGCTAGGTGTCTAGCCGATTTAGCCGCATCTGGGCGTGTGATGGTTGTTGCGTACTGGGCTGATCCCACCTTGACCGAATTCCGATCTATGAGCAGTTGTAGATTGGCCAATATACCCACTTAACCGCTCAGCTGGCAGGGGGATGATATTCTCCTTCCGCCACTGCCGACAGAGGATCGTAGTCCGCTGAGAATTTTGCCAACTTCTCGCTCAGGCCTGCAAACCAGCTTAAGACACCTCCCTGGTTTGCATTGTCGGGCCATCCTGTCCATCCATTGACAAAAAGCGCATTTCGATCCCCTGTGCATCTTTGAAATACAGGTTCAGATCCTGTTTGGAGACCACAGACGCCTCCAAAGAATGTTGATCGGAGATGGGAGAGTCCTACATACATAATACCAAGCTGTGACTTCAGGATCCTGTCAAAATCTTGACTGTGTTCGGAGGAATTGGCGAAATTACTCGCCTTGTGGAGCAATGGTGTTTGTTGGAGGGAAGAGGCAATCCCTCGAGGGAGGTGGGGGGGATAGATTTCGCTGTGGCAATCTCCACAAGATTCCATATTTGTCGGTTTGTCGATGCGTCCTCAAGGGATAATTAAAGCAGCATTTGATTCGTTCGAGGTCGAAATCATTTGATGCGACGGCGGTTATGAGCCGAAACAAGTCACTTTGAATAACCCCCCGAAATAAACGGCAGCAGACGAGCAGCAGGGAGGATCTGGAGGGCTATTAGGAGGCTGGAGGCGAGATCTTGCATATATGTACTGAAGTTAGCGAAAAGAAAGGGATATCATAGATTCCTACTCTAACCCTCCCGCTTGAGCCGATCGACAGCCTAGTCTGCTGAGCGCAAGTCCGCGCCTTCACAGATCAAAGTGAACGTGAAGCGAAAGCCGTTCAGGCCACTGCCGATAGGATTTTCGACGATCCACCTCGACCTTCTTTGATCTGACAGGGCACAGTCCTCTTTCTGCCATCATGTTGTGAGTGTGGCTCAACAAAGCGAGAACAAAGGGGACGCGACGACGGAAACGCGAGACCACGTGATTTCAATGACTAAAGCGTTGGTCAACATCCATTGCCGCTGGTTATGGTATTCAAGGACTAACTACGGAGTACTCCATATGAACCTCTAATGATTCTATGAGCTTACCTTAGTATTCTGCCGGGTTCAAAACACCCTAGGTTTCATTATACTATAAGAAAAAAATGGCGAATTACATAACCAAAAAGATGACTTCGGAAACCCCGTGAGTTTCGAAATATAATATTTGCTCTCCGAGGATCCTTCGATTTTAACGGTGACTGTACATAAAGATACTTAGGCAGTAGGTACAACGATCATAATATTTCCCATCAAGTCCCCTCTTTCCCCTTCTTCAAACTAACAGATGACACTCAACTTCCCATCTATCTTCATCTTCCTACAATATAACAATATAACATTNCCAAAGTCCCCCCCCCCCCCCCTTTTTGCCCCGCGATCTCCTCATCGGGACACTGATCGCCCAACGATAAGCAGAGCCTGTCGCGCCCTCCATACACGCCACTGTCAACAAATAGTAAGAATCTCTCGGTGAAGAATATGCAAAGAGATTGTACTAATAAACTGCAAAAGAAAACACGCTATTTTTAAGCAGCGAAGCCAGAGACACAGCACAAAAATTCAAGGGTAAAAAAAAAAACAACATCGAAAAAAAGAAAAAGAAAAAGAAAAAGAACAGCCAAACTGAACAACCCATCCCCCCAAACTCCAAGCCCAAGAAAAAAGAAATCCAACACGGATCTCCGTAAAAACCTATTGCGCACCCTACACACCCAAAAAACCTTCACGATGAGCATGAGCGCGAGTGCAAACGCCAGACCACCGCCAGCAGGCGGACCGCAATCACAGGCCTCGCGCCGTCTCCTCATCTTCCAGGAGACGCGCAACCCTCAGAACGTCGCAGAGACCATCTACCTCCCTGTCAACAAACTAGGGTTACCCATTTGTGGCGATGGGCCTGTGATGCCTTCTATTCTGGAGTTGCCGTTGCGAGTGCTGAGGGTGTTTACGGATATTTTTAATCAGCCGAAGTATAAGGGGTGGTATGTTTGAATTTTTTTCCTTTTTTTTATCCTTCGGTTTTGCATTTGATGTCATTTTTGGATACCATTCATTCGAATGTGAAATCGTATGCTAATCTGGATTGTTTCAGGGCCGTCGTCTCTGCAGGTCCTTACCGTGATATTTCGGAAGAAGGGAAATTTTATGCTGTGGTCTTGGAGCAGACGCAGAACACCTCGGTGCATGCATCGCATGAGACTCATATGGGGACACCTTGATGGGTTGATTTGATTGTTTTTTTTTTCCTGTCTTATGTGTGGAATATTGGTAGAGTGTCGATTTTTTTCATGTTTTTCTTTGTACATTTTTATCATGCTATGATTAGCGTGTTCGACTTGTTATCTCAATTTATATCCAAATCAAGGTCAATATTCAAGGGGTGATATACATAATAGAGGAGCTGCCAAAAGAATATTATAAATGTAATTGAGTGTTGAATGAAGTCAGAAAAAAAAAGTAGTAGTTGTCCCACCAAATTGCCAAATTTCCTGTAACAGGAAGGTGTAATCTGGCGACGCCATCCCAGGGTGGAAATGTCTCTGCAGAATTGCTTCCCTCAAGGGTCATTTCCATTGCTTAGTGGCCTCCAGCGTCGTGGATTACTCGCACGAGTGAAAATGCCAACCCCAGGATTCGTACCAGGCACCTTTCCCGCTGATCTTGGCGACCGAAGCAGGGTAATTGGCATGGCGGTGAGCCTTCCACTGGGTTATCCATGACAGATTAGGGAAACTTACTCTTATTTTAAATAAGTACTACATTAAATTACATGTTAGCTATATATTATATAGTATTGAATATAGTATAAGAATTTATTCCGCTGTCTCAATTTTGTACACTCTTTCTATCTATATCAATATTGAAAATACATTTTGTTTTCACATGCGCCGCACACAGCCATCTTTCAACCCTCATTCATCACATCGCCCAGTGTCGATATCAGCCTCGACAGGCTTCACAAACTTCGGCCGGAAAGCAACCTTATGACCGATGTATAGCACCGCAAACAATATCAAACTGAGGTAGTTGATGAAGAAATCGGTAACACTGAATTTCGGAATGAAAGCAGTGAAGCCCTGAGTAATGATGATAAGCATGTTGAAGAACAAGCCGTACCACGAGACAAATGGTTGCCAGGGAGCCTTATATGGGAGAGTGTCGCGCGGAATGCCTTGCGCAGCCAAAGCTCTCATAAATGCTAGATGGCAAATATTAAGAGATGCCCAGGTAATAAAACCGGCCAAGCCAGCAATCTGCATCAACCAGTTGAAAACAGTGGCTCCGGCATTTGACACATTGAGAAAACCCAATAGGCCAAAAAGAGCTGTAAACCCAACACTTCCATAAGGCACGCCGTGTTTGGTTGTTTTCAGGAAAAAGCGAGGAGCGAAACCCTCATGAGCCAAACCGACTAGAATCCGACTGCCGCTGTAAACGTTCGAATTGGCAGCGGAAAGGACCACAGTGAGCAGGACTGCGTTGATAATACTAGGTAGGACATTGACACCGGCACGTTTCGCGGCGATGACAAAGGGGGATGCATCTGCATTTGCACCGCTGTCATTGGAGGTAAGGCGTTCATCGTTGGATGGCACGACGATGCCGACGAAGAAAATCGTAAAAACAAAGAAAAACACGATCCGGAAAAAAGTCTTTCGAATCGCAGAGGGAATGTTCTTGCGAGGATTTTCCGTTTCACCTGCAGCAATGCCGACAAGCTCGGTGCCTTGGTATGAAAACCCGGCTTTGATCAAAATCGCCCAAAATCCGACGAATTTAGCCAGAGCGTCTTGTCCAGAATCTTCAATCAGATAAGGGCGGAATGGGCCTGGATGCACCCAGTATCTGAATCCCAGATAACCCTCCCTGCCAACGCCAGCATTGATGCAAATAGCGAATATCATAAACCCGACCACGGTGATGATTTTGATGCTTGAAAGCCAAAACTCGACTTCACCGTAGCAGCTCACAGGAAACATGTTCAAAATTATAATGACAACCCAAAATACAGCAATGAATACTGCCATTGGGATCGTGTCATCCCAATATTGAATGATCAGGCCAGTGGCAGTCAACTCAAGGGCAAATGTTGAGGCCCATGAAAACCAGTAGATCCAGCCCATTGAGAAGCCTAAACTGGGATCTACCAGGCGCGTCGCATATGTGGCAAAGGCTCCTGCGATCGGTAGGTAGGTGGCCACCTCACCTAAGGCTATCATGACTGAATACACGATTGATCCAATGAAGGCGAATGCAATCAGCGCACCAACAGGGCCTGCAGTAGCAATAGCACTTCCACTACCGATAAACAGACCTGTGCCTATAGCACCTCCTGTAAAAGAATATGAATATGAATAGGGAAAAAAAATGTGTATAGCTCAGAGTTCTTACCCATTGCGATCATCTGTAGATGTCGGCTTTTGAGCCTTCGCTGCAATTCCGGCAGTGGGGGTGACTCGCCATTGCTGTGTTTCTCTTGATTCCCTTCAATGTCGTGATCGGCCATTGAGTATCTGATTGAATTTGGGTTTGATAGAAGCAAATAAAAAGTGGCAGAGCCGCTTTTGGAAATTTCAATTTTGGATTTCCTGGCCTCTGATTGGTCAAAATTTAAACATGGCCCGGGGCACGTGAGTGGGTAGAATCAGGATGCCTTGGTGCCTTAGTGCCTTTGTGCCCTAAGGCAATGATTCGAATCCAACATCAACATCTGATGTGTGGAAGAGACACTCATACACGTCGTATATTTTCAGAAAGGAGGACATACAGATTCCTCTAGAATATATCGTCATTTTTTTAATCTTGTGTGACTCTGGATTGGCGGGAACTATTCCGATCACTTCCTGATATGTTCTTTCTTTCATATGGTAAATAGTGTTGATCTGACATGACAGCAGCGATTCAGCCCTGGAGCGTAACCCGGAGATGTCAAATACGCCGATTCGGTCAACTTTCTATACTTTATGGTTGTTAGGATCTTGCTATGCGTTACACAAGTTCACCGCCTTTCTTAGGTACCCATCGTGTCTTTCTATTTATTTTCCGTCAGACTGTCTTTCTTACTTCTTTCATCTCCAAAAATGATCCTTTCTGCTAGTCCTGAGATCAAGGCAGAGCTTTCTGGAATCATACAGGCATTTCTTTCGAATATCGGCTATGAGTTTCGTCCCCTGGAGCTATATCCTGCAGTCGAAGACGAAGTGAAGCTGCATTTCAAGAATCACAGATTCTCTGATGAATTTGTTTCGAAGATCGAGCCACAGATCAAGCCCAGCGTTGGAATTGCAACCACGACTTTCCAAACAACCCCCTTCAATATCCAATGCACAGTGGCAATATTCACTACTTATTGTCTCATCATTGATGATTCTGCCCATGACCTCGAATTCAAAAATCACCTAAAGCGGTTCAGTATTTGCCTACTGACCCGACAGCCTCAAGCAAACCCCGTTCTTGAGAGTATGGGAGAGTTCCTAAGCTCCTTTCATTCTATCTTCGGTCAATTTGCTGGTGACATGATCATCAAGGACTTACTGCAATTTATCGCTGCGTGCTACACAGAAGCTGAGAGCGATCATCTTCAATTCCCTGCAGGAGCGCATCTGTTCCCTAGCTACTTTCGCCTGAAAGTCGGCGTGGCCGAAGCCTACTCCTTTATGCTGTTCCCAATCGCACAATTCTCCGAAGTTGAATGCCTCCGATACTGTCTACCGATGATACCATATTTGACATGGGGTTTCAACTGGATCAATGACATCCTGTCATATTACAAAGAAATTGTTGAGATGGACAACTGTAATTTCGTCGCCAACTCGGCCAGATGTAAAGGGCTGATTCAGATTAAGTTTATGAGGGAGCTCTGTGATGATACAAGCGACGTGATTCGGACTTTGCGCACGCTTGCAACGGCTCATTCGGGGCTATCGAAGGTTGTTGAGGCTTTCGTTTCCGGTTATGTCACGTATCATCTGACGCAGACGCGGTATCAAATGGAGGATCTAGATCTGGCATTCGTTTCCGATGCCAGAGAACAATTTAGTGCTTCTATTGCGAGCAGAGAATAAACTCTGCGTGGGTGAGTATATAGCTCTTAGGAAAGCTCTGGCAGTGTGGTATTGGGAATTCAATACTTCACCAAGCAAATGAACTTGAGCCGAATTTCATCCGCGCAGATAACAGATGAGGGGCTTGTTAAAAACTTGTACCTGACTTCGTTTTTGCAAGAACAGAAGGTGCTGGAGGTCTGGAGGCATCTAGTATTTGGAGTATATGGAATGCATGAATTGGTATATAGTTCATCATAGGAGACTCGGTCTTACTGTGCAAAGAAGCACAAATTCGTCGTCATAGCCGTGTCTTGAGTGAGAATGACCTCGAAAGAGACTTGTGGGGAAATCAAGAAGCCCCCAAGCGAAGTAATTGTCAGTCTAGGTATACACTTTAGGGCAGTTCCTTGGACTGCGGCTTTGGGGGCGTGAAAGGGACGCCGGCTCAGATAGGAAACCGCCATCCGATAGGCGATAGAAGGTTAATCCACACTCATGAAGCACAACACGCGAAATGATTTAAAATACTGCGGGAAACGCTGGAAAGCTCAAATACATGTATGTAATTGTGAATCACGTTTTTCAATACCGCAAAACGAGTTCAGCGTATGACAAAAAAATACCATTAATACCATACATATGTCGACACCACAACGAAGAGAGAAAGAAAAGAGCGAGCCTCTAGAATTGTTGGCCCATATTCTTCTGCTGAATTTGAAAAATGTAAGAAAAATCAAACCCGGAATGGGCCGATCGAAATATACCGAAGTCGCATCAGAATACTAGAGCCCAAGGACAGAATTTATTGGATTGAGAAGGCCTCTATGAATGGTTATGGACCCATTTTCTTGACGCTTAGGTGCGCCAAGGGGGCCAGCCCCAATTAATCTCCCTGGCGGCAACGAAAATTATTACTTACCGGACACTTTGCTTGAGTCAACATACTTATTGGTGCAAAATATTCCTTGTTACCGATATCGGCTAATTCACGCCTGATAGACCAAGGTATTTATATTCCACTGATCGGCGCTTTTCAGCCAAGTTAGTATTCGAATCATAGAAACTCTCGCCATGGCATTGAAGGAAACGGAGATCGCTCGCGATATGGGCTCTGATGTTCCCTATGCTTCCGAGAAAGAGCCAGAGACCGCCCACATACCAAAAGATACGGCTGATGGCCATGGCAACTCGGACCAGGAGTCTCTTGACCAAGAGGCTCAGGCTGGTGTGAAGGGAGTTCAGGCCGCAGCGGCCGTTTGGACCAAGTCTCATATGATTCTGGCATATGTGATGTGAGAATCTCTTCATGGTCTGGCATCTATATTCATTCAAACCGCTGACCCTTCTCGTGTGAAGCATTTGGTTTATCTATTTTGTGACCTCCATTCAGGAGGTCGTCATCCGTTCTCTGAACCCTTACGTGACCAGTGCCTTCATGCTCCATTCTTTGACCGCGGCCACGAGTATCATGGCCAATATCATTGGAGGCCTGAGTAAAATTCCCTTGGCAAAGATTTTGGACTCTTGGGGTCGACCTCAGGGTATGACTTTGATGCTGATCATTTGGGTTGTGGGATTCGTCATGATGGCGGCCTGCGACAACGTTCAAACATACGCAGCTGCACAGGTTTTCTCATCTGTGGGGTATGATATCCATATCGAGATATCCAATGTTCTTTCCAACAGCTTGGCTGATTTGCAACAATCTCTAGATCTCAAGGAGTCAGCTATTGTTTGACGGTTTTCATTTCAGACACCTCTGCATTGAAAAATCGAGCCCTCATGTTGTCGTTTGCAACTTCGCCGTACATAATCACCACCTGGATTGGAGGGCCAATTTCCCAGAGTGTTCTCGAAGGTCCCGGCTGGCGATGGGGATTTGGAATATTCACCATCGTCGTTCCGATTGTGGTGGCTCCTCTGTGTCTTCTGTTCTTCTGGAATCAGCAAAAAGCCAAGAAGATGGGTTTGTTCGCACCCAGCCGTGGTCCACTTACCTTGTCCACAGTAAAACAATATTGCATAGAGGTCGACTTGATTGGAATCATTCTTCTAGCGGGCGGAATGGCCTTGTTCCTTCTTCCGTTCAGTCTATGGTCAATGGCGCTCGGCAATGATCATTTGCATGATCATTTTTGGAGGGCTTTTGCTCATCGCATTCGCTCTCTACGAGCGATTTTGGGCCCCAGTGACCTTCGTCCCATTCAATCTATTGATGGACCGAACCGTCTTCTTCGGCGGGTTGATGTTCATCTTCGAGTTCTTCAACTCAATGGTCTGGGGGAGTTACTTCTCATCAATGCTCCAGGTAGTTTGGGGGCTGGATGTCACAGAAGCCAGCTATATCTCAGCCATTTATAGAGTCGGATCCTGTCTCTTTTGTCTCCTCGTCGGCTTCCTGATCCGCTGGACTGGTCGCTTCAAATGGCTGGCCGTTTACTTCTCCTTCCCGCTTATGATCCTGGGCGTTGGTCTGATGATACAATTCCGTCAACCTGATGCGGGTATTGGGTATATTTGCATGACTCAAATCTTTGTTGCCTTTGCTGGTGGAACCACTGTTATATGCGGTGAGCTTGCTATGATGGCGCCTTCGGATCACCAGCACATCGCTGTTATACTTGCTATGCTCAATTTGTTCGGTAGTATTGGCAGTGCGATTGGATCAACCGTGTCTGCCGCTATCTGGACCAGTGAGTTCCCGAAGGCGCTGGCCAAATATGTACCGGCGGAGGTGAGTGTCACTAAAGTTTATTCGGATATCACGGCCCAGCTGTCGTATGAGTGGGGAAGCCCTGCTCGGAATGCCATTGCTCACGCCTACGGAGATGCGCAGAGATATATGCTAATTACCAGTGTTTGTATGCTGGTAGTTGCTTGGGGATGTGCTGCTATGTGGAGGGATATCAAGATAAAGGATCTCAAGCAGGTCAAGGGGCGCGTGATCTAAGTTGTTATGCTGTTTATAGAAAAGTGTGGAGTCGACAAATGAAGTTTGTAGGGGTCTGATTGAAGTTAGTGAGAACTAGGAGGAATAATGTTTCTTTGATTCTTTGATTAGTTGTATGTCATATAATTAATATTCACTATATAGCGTCGAAGAATATCTCGCTTCTCTTTTGAATTTCGTCTTCAAAACAATAGCTCAACGATTAGGGGACTTTTGTAACGTTGAGGAGGGGTTTCAACCGAAGTATACCTTGAATACTAACCGAAAACATGTTCGATTTATAGAAAATCAGAAGTGGCATTCTACCAAGATAGTACAAACCAAGGCCTCTCTCAAAGCCTGTCTTCTGTATAGCTGCCACTGGACTCGGGTATAAACGAGTAGCGCCCCCAAAGACCTTCCACTCCCTATGCTCAGTGGCTCCGTTCCAACTCATATAGACATTGGTATTGTTCCCGCCCTGCTCAATGCAAGAAAACACATCGGGGGGAGTTTCGGGAACCCCGACCCAGGGGGAGCGATAGGCTCGGTAACTTGCGAAGACATCATCAAATCCAAACTGGGCAGTCATGACACAAGACCAGTGTACTCCTTGATCTTAGGATTTGACCCGTAGCCCATCAAGACGTGGTTTCCAGGCAGGAATTGTGTGTTTCCTTGAGAATTCGAAAAGATCTCATCCCGTTGATCGTGGAGATCTTGGACAAGTGAGACCTCACGAGTAGCTAGACTAACGCTCATCAATATTCCTTCAGTGTGATCAGTCCCGTTCTGGACATCAGAGTTGGCATTGTTAAAAATGCTAGGCATGAATCCATCTTCGGCCTCGTCGTGGATGCGGGCGTTGTGTTGATAGCTGATTCCATTAAGTTCAAAGTCGCCGCCAGCTTGACCCTATTGTATATGATTAGTATACGTGACATACTTGTGACACACATGAAAAAGATGAAATTTACCTGAAGTGTCCAGTCAACCGATCCATCCTTCGCGATCTTAAACAGCGAACAGTAGTAACGAGAAGAAATGATGTACGTTCCATCTTGAAACTTGTCCACTGAGTTGATGTGAGATTAGCCATAGGGAGAGCTACTGTTGTGTCCCCAGTCTTTGACAGGGTAGAAGGGCTGTACGTGATCCAAGGGGATCTGGTCAATATGGTCCAGGGCACTCCAGCGGAAAAGTATCTCGTTGGTCTTGACTTCGATCTCATAGAAGAGCGAGTCAGTAATCCAGCCATTCTTGGGGCCTCCCACAGAACTGAGATCAGTCTGGGTAACATTGTAGCCGGTGACCAGCATTTTCCCATCAAATGTCACTGTGTTCTCGTGCATGTAAATCCAAGATACAAAAGAGGAGCTGTCAATGCTACCCAGGGCTTTGTAGTTGTCGTTTGTCACAGAGACATTGTAGATACTTTGATAGGACTCGTCCAAGACCTGAAAAATACCGTATTCCTAGCCAAAGGGCTCTGGGACTCCAAGGTCGTTGAAGTACGTTAGGACAGGCTTCCCATCCAGCTTCTGCACTCGGAACCCCTTCAGATCACCGGGGGGCTCTGCCAGACAAGCTCGTTGCTGTCCAATATAATAAAAACGCCGTAATGATGCGCATCCTATGATTGATCGAAGAAGAGGTATCCCGGGGGAGATTTGGAGATTTGGAGGCTCATGAAGGCTGGACTTGAAGGTTTGTCAGGGCCAAGTGGTGTTCTCGGCCACAATAAGCCTGGAGCCCACAAAGGACGGCAAAGGGGGAAGAGAGACGCATGACAGGATTGACTTCCCTGCAAGTGCAGGCTACTAATTCTTCGGTTTCACTGGATGTCTCAAACTCAAATATATGACCTGAATTGCTTGGAAATTCCCGTGTCCAGCCGATGTCGGTCAGCAAATTCTCTCCCTGGTATGAGGGATGCAATATCTGATGCCATGGTATTAGGATCGTCTAGAGCACTGAAAAATTCAGGTTGTATCTAAGACCACGGGTATACAGACCTGTAGACGGTTTGTGGGCCATCTGATAATTCTTGATCAGATTAGATTAGCGGCTCCACATCGTATTTCAATACGGTACCAGGGTATTGTATTACCAGTATTTCGTGGTATCAGTAAAAGTCAGTGGAAAACCAGGGACTGATCGACACTTGCCGAGCTTGTTCCGAGGTTCTCATATCCACCACATCAATGGATGGACCAGCTCGGGTTAGATTACGGAGTATATACGGCCTCATACGCAGAAACCTGCTCTTAGAGCTCCCATTGAGATTATTATCTCCACAGTAATGCCCCGGCCCACATGGATACACACAAGAACTGCCGAGCACTTGATCAACAGGATGGTTATCTACCAATGGAGTCACCGGGAGTGGCGGCGGCATTAAGAAGTACCGCATCGTCCGCCTTCTCTTTTCGCGTGCCGCTGTTGTCATTCTTGGCTCGGTATGTTGTATGAACAACTTTTACGGATTTAATAAAAGCCTCACTCGGTTGCTTACTTCCTTCGTTAATACGCCAAGTCTTGGCTTTAACTCTCAGTTCGCTTGGGCCTTTGGGTAACTTCTAAACTCCGTGCCAAGACTGTTGAAAAGGAATGACTAGATTCATCTTCTGATGGCTTACCGGAATCGGTCAGTCTCTCGCTCCTGTGGTAAGCTTAGGTTTTGGTGCAAATTTTAGACACCGCAGGCTAGGGACGTATGTGTAAATGTAGTTCAACGCTCTAGGCACATGGGAGGTTCTCTTAGCGTCGAAATATATAAGACTTTGGGATGCCATACAAGCATGTGACCGGTTATGTCTTGTATTTAAGGCCTAAACCGAAGTATTTAGATGTCTGATTTATACAGAGGGACTCTTGTCCTCCGCCCATTCCTCAAATGTCATGTTTCCCACAGCTGTGTGCATTTTCACCTTGAGTGGTGCTCGAACCTCTTTGTTGACCCGGGTAATTTCGGGCTTGAATAGAATGCCCTCTGAGAGAGTCTGGAAGCCAAGTTTTTGACACAACGGGATTCCCTCCACTGTTGACTCAAGGTAGATTGGCAAATTCAGCTGCTCTGCCACATTCATTCCCCATTCCATAAGCTGTGCTCTAATTCCTTTACCCCTGATAGTCAGGATGCACTGCAACTGTGTGGCAGTCTATCTCTGTGTCAACTTACGGTCATTATCAATATAAGAATCGGTATACTCACACACATGTCTCTTGGGCCCAATCCACTTCTCCATCTTTTCCCAAAGCTGCTCCAAAAAGTTTTCGGCACGTTCTCGCTGGTCGCCCCCTAACCACCCAATCCACGGCTTCTGACGCTCTTCGGTGGTCCTTTCCCGCCAATAGACTTGCCAAGTTGCCATGCCGGCGATTATACCGGTGTCAGTGTCAATGCATTGGAAGGTGTGCTCCATGCTCAATCCTTTCCAATATTCAAGAGTCCCTTCGGTGTGAACTTTACGGAAAGCCTCATCGTTGAGATCGGTATCCGGGTAAATGAGGTCCAGGATCAATTGGCCTTTGAAGGCCGCAAACCAAACATCATAGATGGCCCGGATATCGGGGAGAGTGGCGGGGACAACAACAAAGCTCATATTCATTGCAAAGAGGGAAAGTATAATCACTATTGAGTAATAGTTTAGAAAGAGTTGAAGAAAGTAGCAGTATATAGTATTAAGTGCATCTGTATCCAACAAATTGAATACTTGGCGCCAAGACTCCCGAAGTCGGATCTGATAAGACAAGGTTGGATTGAAAGTTAAAGTTACATACATACGTAATCGGCTGTATTTCCTCCGGGGCCGGGTAATGAGACATTTGACCTACATGTAGTTAGTGATGCTGATCTGGTCAGTTCCCTCGGATTGATTTACCGGCTCCTGAGTTGGCGCTTTTTCTTTTCCCCATCCCAACAACTCCCCTATTATTACCAAAATCTCACCTTGCTGATCGTCGCCATGCCTGGTCTCGAAGAACAGCCGCCCTTCAGGGTTCTCATTGTTGGGGGGTCTTATTCCGGGTTGGCCGCAACTCTGAACCTTGTCGACCTGTGTCATGGTCGGAAGTGTCGATTCAATCAGGATGAGAACGACCAGGGCCCAGGGACCACGATTCCTGTGCAAGTAACCATCGTGGATGAACGCGACGGTTATTGTATGTGGAATCCTCATGTAACATCTGAAAAAATGGCACTGACAGTAATTATTTTAGACCACCTGATCGGACTGCCTTTAGCCATAGCTTCTAATGCCGATGCTAGCATGTTCTGGAAAAAGTTCGCGGATATTCCCGCTCTCCAATCGCCGGATATCAATCACATCCAAGGACGAGTAGACTCGATAGACTGCAAGTCCCGTATCGCACGGATCCGTCAAAATACTGCGAATGATGGGCACAAGATTGTCGAAGAGAAATACGACTACATGATCGCGTGCTCCGGCTTGCGAAGGGAGTGGCCCAGTGCACCCAAGTCTTTGACTCGGGAGGCATATCTTGCCGAGACTGCAGATTCTGTGCAGACTATCGAGAAAGCTGTGGGAGGCGTGGCTGTTATTGGGGGCGGTATGTAGCACCACCTTCTTCTAGTTGAGTTATACCAATTGATTCGCTCATCGCAGGTGCTGTCGGTATCGAGATCGCCGCCGAAATTAAGATGCTACAACCTCAGGCAAAGGTGACCCTCATTCACTCTCGGCAACAGCTTCTCTCCTCAGAGAATCTCCCCGATGAGTTCAAAGCAAAGGCCCTTGAAATGCTGAAAGAGTCCAAGGTGGAAGTGATGTTGGGGGCACGCGTCCAGGATAAAGTTCTTGGCAGCGACTCCGCTCCGGCAAAATACACGCTCAAACTCTCGGATGGTCGGGAGCTCATAGCCGATCATGTAATCAATGCCGTTTCACAGTTTGCATCCACATCCTCATATCTTCCCAAGGATGCCTGCGATCCCGAGGGATATGTCCGTATCACGCCCGGTCTTGAATTTTCCGCAGATGTGCCAAACAAGAAATACCACTACGCTGCCGGCGATATTGTCTCCTGGTCTGGTATTAAGCGTGGTGGAGCGGCGATGCACCAGGGGCACTACGCAGCCGTCAATATCCACCAGCAGATGTTAGCGGAGCGGTACAACACAGAGCCCAAGTTGGTCGAGTTGGTTGAGGTAGCTCCCATGATGGCTCTGGCTCTTGGGGAAACCGCCGTTGGGTACTTCCCGACCATGGGGCTGACCACGGGTGACGAGATCCGCAATATGTTCTTCAATGATGATCTAGGATATGGAAGTAAGTTGGCGAGTTTCCAACCGGATTGATTTAGCTAATAAAAGCAGTTTGTTGGAGATGGATGCGCTTAGGAGAAGCAACCGACTGAATTTTCGGATTGACAGAAAGCCATGAAACGGATTGTCCATCATAAAAGAATGAGATTAAACAATATAGACCTATATCAATGAAAATAGCAAGAAAGAACAGCTATCTCAATTTTTTTTATTCAAGAACAATTATCCATCCACTGTCTGGTTCAGGGCGTCGACTCTGTAAGTCTCACTGCGCTCAATTAGCTGGGCGTGAGTGCCTTGCTCAACACAACGCCCATGCTCAATCAAGAAAATAACATCTGCCTTACGGATCGTGTACAAACGATGCGCAATTGCTATCACCGTCATGTTTTTAGACGCCTTTTCCAATCCATCCTGGAGCAATCGCTCAGACTCTGCATCCAAAGCACTGGTTGACTCATCTAGGAGCAACAGCTTCGGCTTTCGGATCAGCGCCCGCGCAATAGCTAGTCGCTGCTTCTGGCCTCCGGACAGACGATCACCATTTGGGCCGCAGTGTGTATCGTATCCGTCTGGAAGCTGCACGATGACGTCGTGGATATTGGCTAATTGACATGCTTCTTCCAACTTTGCGTAACTTCGTTGCCAGGTCGTGCACCAAGAGCAAGATTAAAGCGAATAGTTCATTCGAACAAGATACTCTGCTGCGGTACATACGCAATGGAGTCACGAAATGAGATGTCACTATAGGCAACGTCTCGGCCGTCAACATGGATGGTGCCGGATTCAGGGGAGTAGAGGCGCTCGATAAGTGAAATGATAGTGGATTTTCCAGCACCACTTGGTCCAACCAAGGCAGCAAACTGACCCGGTTTTACGGTCAAATCTAAACCATGAAGCACGCGAGTATCTGGTCGTGCCGGATACGCAAAATGGACATGTTTGAGGGAGACGCTGATGCCATTGCGAGTGTCATCAACCTTCTCGCGGGTGGTTGCCGTGTATTCAACGTCGCTCGTAGACTGTGAAAATTTGCTAGGTAGAGTTTGAATAGGGGCTGACAGTTTCTTCGTGGATCCCAGGTCTAACAGATTTAACAAGCGGCGGTTAGCGTGGAAGGCGCGCGAGACATCAGGGGCCAAAGCAAACATCTGCCCCCACAGCTGTGAGCTAACGAGCAGCGCCAGCAGGACAATGAAGAACTGAGTCTGAGTGTAATATCCTGCAATGATGTTTTTCGCTCCCCACCAATATGCCAGGCCATATAAGAAGTTACTGAGGCCGTACCCGATGGCAAGCCGAACATTAGCCCAGGCACTTTAGCAGGTTATCTCCTTCATGGGTTCTACTAATGAGCGACGGTATGTTCCCATAATCTCGTCTTCCACGGAGAGAGACATGACGGTCTTGATCGAGTTGACAGCCTCCACTGTAATTCCCACCGACCGAGCAAAAGCCTCCAGATGGCGCTCTTCAAACTGTGCCAATGAAGTAACTCGCATCCATCCAGCAGCCAGCAGCAAAGGCACCACGGCAAGGCAGACAATGGCGATGCGCCACGCGATAATGTGCGACATGATGATAGCAGCGAATAGGTTAATGAGAATAGACAAAATTGTGCACACAACAGAGCCCGTCAGGCCTGCAAGTGCATTGCTGTCCTTAGTAATCAAGGAAAGCAGCAATAATGGGTTGCGGTCATTAGATTCATGCCATTGGAGATCCTGCTCGAGGATGGATCGCAGTGAAAGAACTCGCACTTTATAGATCACATTTTCTGCCATCCAACCAAAGAGAGACCAGCTGACCAGATTCGCAAAGAATTCAATGATGGCGAGGACAAAGAACATGAGTCCATAGAGCTCTCCAGCATCGCGGATATTCTGAGGTTCCTCGCAGCCACTCAGCTTACCCACGACATTACCAAAGATCACTGCCGAAGCACAGTATGTGCCTCCAATGACAACGGCACCGGTTACAGCGAGAACCAGAACAAATGCATACGGTCGGAACATAGAGCCAAGGGAACTGGCTGTTGAGGAAAACGACCTCTGTGTATCGACAACACCGCCTATTTCTTCGGATTTGGAGTCTTGGGTAGCAGAAGTATCGGCCGTCTCATCTTGATCGCGGATACCATCGGCCACAGAAAGACATGTTTCGACCTTTTCTGTTATTTGATTGATAGGCGACACCGACCGGGTGGATTTTTCCTCTTGAGTACTCTCAACGTTGAGGTTCTGAAGACGAACCAGCTCTGCGTAGGCACCATTGGCTACCATCAACTCTGTATGAGGGCCTTGCTCAACAAGCTTTCCTTGTCTCATGACGATAATATTATCCGAATTTTTGATGGTAGACAGACGATGCGCAATGGTAATAACAGTTCGTCCCACGGCCATGGTCTCCAAGGCTTTTTGGATGCGCATTTCTGTCGCTGAGTCCAGAGATGCTGTGGCTTCGTTGAGGATAAGAATCCTGGGGTCTTTCACCAAGGCCCGGGCCAGAGAGATACGCTGCTTCTGTCCACCACTGATCAGGTTCCCGCTAGAACCAACCAAAGTACCGTATCCTTCTTGAAGTTTCTCAATGAACCCGTTGGCATCAGCCAGCTTTGCGGCACCTTCCACCAAGCTCATCACCTCTTGCGCCTTTTCACCGTGGTCTAGAGAGCGGCCGCAAGCGCTTGGCCCTCCCTCACAGCGGCAGCAATTTCAACCAACGCAGTACCTGTCAAAATTGGTTGAAGATGAGTGTGTACAGGTGAGTTGATCAGACCTAAGGCAATGTTCTCGAAGATTGATCGATCGAGAAGACAAGGCTCTTGTCGGACAAGACTGATATGGCTCCTCAATGCGCGCACATTTAGGTCTTTAACATCATGTCCGTCCAACATGACAGTTCCTTCGGTCGCATCGTAGAATAGTGTTGCTAAGCCGGCGACAGTAGATTTTCCACTCCCAGACAAGCCAACAATTGCAGTTTGTTGACCGGCGGGACAGGAAAGCGACAGATTTTGAAGAACTGGCTTATCTGGGCGAGAAGGGAAACGGAATGAAACATTGCGCAACTCCACGTGGCCCTTGACCTCGGACAAGACTTCTCCAACGTCCTTCGCCGTACATCGATTGTGGATGAGTGCTCTATATCAGCGTTCAATTTTGTAAAGGCAACCGAAGCAGCGTCGAAGCTTTGGATGAAAGGTGCCACTGTGCTGAGGATCAAGGATGCTAAGAGAAAGACATAGTCAGCGAGAGGTCAAATAAATGCATGAATATAGATGCTGACCATCGACTAGAATAAAAATCACAGTGTATGTTGCCCCAACCGTCATGCCGCCAGAATCTGACTCTACTGAGTCTGCAATCTGCCTAGACCCCTGCCAGAAGGCCAATGCATTAGCCGAGAAGACAATAAAGTAAAGCGAAAAACTTCTCCCTACTCCCAAGGATGAGCGCGGACCGCTTATGTGGCCGATCAACCAGCTTAGCCAGGTTCATGCCTGTAGCGTGATCGTAGGTCAAGGAGGCGAGATTTGCGTATTTGGGCTCTCCGGTCACAAACTCCGTCCACGGATCGTCCAGGAAGATGTAATGCATCAAGACGGACCACCATGCAATCGTGCGGTGCGGGCCCCGGAAACGCTCATCGCCGACTAGCGAATGGCGACCCCTGTCCCAGCCACCAGCATCGTAATACGCACCAAGATGGTCCTCCTATAATTCAAGTTAGCCGTGATCAAGTTGGTGGAAATATATAGAAACCATACCTTCGTCCAGTATATCTCATGATAGGAAAAGAAAGTGTTGTTGAATTTAGCCAGCACAGCAATCTGGTGCGGATCCTCCTGGATTTTGCGCAAACGATGTTGGTCCAAAGTTCCAGTCTTGTTCCACCCCTGAGCCACTCGGGAGTTATTCTGCCACTTTTTGAACAGCCCCAGGTGTTCGTCGTTTGTGTAGTCTAGTGCATAGACTGAGAAAAACCCATTCAAGTGTGGAATGTAGCGGCTGTAGATGCGAGAGCCAAGGGCTGGTTTGGTGGCCGTACGGGATGAAGGGCGTGTACCCGATGCTCAGGGAAGCCAGTGGTGACTGTGTGTTGGCGTGGTCGGGAAGGGTAGTTGCTCAACGCCTTGCGCATATAGCTGTAAATCCCCGGATCAGACAACCACACTGGGTGGGTACCAAAGGGTGAGCCAGCTCCTTGCCAGAAGCTACTGCGGGAAAAGACCAGCTGTCCGAGGTGGCTAGTGGTGTTTGGGATGGGTTCTCCTGGTACAGCAGATAGTTCAGGATACGCAATAGCCAAGCCCACACCCTGTAACTCGCATACAATTATGTCACTCCCATGACCAGACAACACACCACGGAATATCTCGAACTCGCTGCGCAGGGTCTCAATGGCATGGACCACATTCCAGATTTGGCCCACCGTCGGCGTGTCCGAGCCTTCCTATATAATATTGGTAACTGGACTTCTCTGTGCGCGTGCCCAGGGTGAGTTGTTTCCCTCGTCTGGTGTGGAAGAAGAATTGGGCTGGGCCAAATCTATGAACCTCAATAACGCATGGTCCAACAGCTTCGGCGGTGGTATGCCTTCATCCCCGCGAGGAGATCTCAGCAGCTGAAACTTGAGTAGTTTCTGCTCGGTGGATACGACGTGAAATTCATAAGTTGTCTTGTACGGCTCCGGTAGCCGCACCAAGGGTAGAGAACTCAAAGACATGACGATGATGATGCTACCACCTCAGAAGAGGAGCACGAGGGAATAAGTAATCAGATATACAATGTCGGCATTGACCAAATCCTCGATATATACTTCAGCTCGGAGGATTACTCAAGTATACGATGTAGGGAATTGATCATCCTCATCTATGTCCACCAGGCAGCGGTCCACCAGGCACCAGACTCAGGTAACTGAGTCCTTGGCTGCTACCAAAGGCCTGTATCTCAGTGTCGCTGCTTCGCGCAGACTAGTACCAAGAGGGGGAAGCTAACCCAGCTCCCCATACATGCTCGAGACGAGAGTTTCCAAGGTTGTCTCAAAAAATCCCCAACGTAATCAATCGACGGATATCCGATATCGCAGCCAATCTGATTAGTCGAGGCAGAAACTTGCGATTATACGAAAAGAGTAACTTTGAAGGAGATCTTGACAATGGCGACAGTATTCTACCAAACAACATTCAAAAGTTTCGAATACGACTGTCAGAGCTCTGTTCACCGTTTGCAAAAGGTTTTTAGTGCCAAGGTGAGTTCAGGGTGGTAGTAGAGCTCCGCATAAAGCCCATAGCCCAGCTCAACCCAACCCATTTAGAAAGCCCACTAGGCTTTTAATAGGGGCCCAATCGGCCCCAAACAGTACAAATATGCCGAGAATTCAGAAGTTGAACCCCCCTTTAGGGATTTCAAAATTACCCTTCATTTTACCCCCGTTTCTAAGCCTTAGTCTAAAGGCAATATTTTATCAATGTAAATCTTTTAGAATCAATTACTAGTTATCTCTCTATATCACGTTTAAAAACGCGAGAAAGCGCGTTATTTAGATAATTTATAAATTACAGAAGTTCACTTAGAAAGTAGTAGTACTCCTGCACAAATCTAAAATATATATCTTTTCAAAATATACATCTTTCTACAGTATCTCGACCTCTACTAGTCGGATTTTATTTAAATTTAAAATATATACTTATATAGCTGTAACTATTATAAATTCAAAATTTTAAACTCTATATAATAAGTAAAAGGTTAGAATACGGCGATTACAATATGCTGGGTAAACCCCCCTTGATGGGCTTTAATGGGGGCCTTATGGGCCCCCATTGATAGGCTGTGGGTTGGGTTGGGCTTTGGGCCCGGGGTTCGGGCCCATTTATGGGCTTTGCGGAACACTAGGTGGCAGTGCTTAGCGTAGATCTCGGCGGCCCTCGGCAGCTCTTGGGAGAGTCTGTGTGTATGGTATGGTATGGTTTGGTATTGTATTTTCTAAGGTATTGAATACTCAGGTTCCTAGTCATGTATTGTAACATAACTTTCGATATAAATTATGATACAATTGTGGTCGGAGACCTTTCTCGACTGCCACTCGAGTTGTGAACATCACTGCCGCTGGGCAAATTCATACTGTAACCCATAATAATTTTTGTGTGACCTATAACCATGATCCATGGATAATATAACTACAATTAACGTTCCGCGACCGTGGCAAGGTCTAGATAAGACACGCTATCCAATAGTATACTATATATACATTGTTACCATACCTGATGATAGACGATTGCAGGCAAACCAAAATTTTGAGGTTTGCCGAGAATGTTGCGGGGTAAGGCAAGGGTTCAAAGTTAGATTAAACTCCTGTGCGGTAGATGACCAGGAAATGATTTAATCACTTCTAATGACGACGCCTAACCAGCGGTAGCGTATGAGTCACAGGACTATTTTACTACTGCACATGTAGTCTAGAGCAATTGTGTAGGGTCAGGGTAATGAAGCACGTACAAATGATATGATCTGAGCCTTCTTTTGTGTCCAAAATGAAGAGGCCTAGCTTGTAACGAAAACGGTAGAGTTATAGTTACCATGGAAGGTCATCTTTTGAGGTTTGTTCCGACCAATGAATTAGTCGAAATAAGGTAAGGAGGGTATGGGGTTTGCAGCTATGATCGAAATATTAACTTTGCGGAGCAATTGTGGTTGCAAATGATCGATCTAGACCTTCATTTTTCCGTGTTTAACAGCGCTCTTCTAGCTAGGTTTTAATTTTGATTTTAAGAGATGATCTCACTATTGTTTCGGCTTTATGAGGCAAGACCTTCATTGTAGGATACAAGCATCTGCTGATCAATTCACGGCTACGTAATGTTTGCAGTGGGCCGCGATACGCCGAGACCTATAAATTATCCCAATATTCCTGGATATTCGTTTTATAATATACAGGATAAATACCTTCCGCACACATATCTCATACGATAAAATGCCTAGTCCATCACAAGAACTGGAAAATGCCGAATATCGCCCTGCAGCCTCAGGAGATCTACGATCTCCCTGCCCCACCCTCAATTCCCTTGCGAACCACGGATTAATTCACCGCGACGGTCGTAATATCACGGCCGACCAGCTTAAAGATGCTCTCCAACTCATCGGCGTTGGTGTCGATATCCGACATACCCTAGTGAAGAGAGCATTTACTGTTCATAATGAGACTTCTCATACCGGCCTTCGGAACCCGGGACAGGTGAATGAGTCGGGAATACCTGTGATAGATCTGGATCAGACAGGTCGCCCTCATGCTGTGGAACATGACGTGTCTCTCTCCCGAGAAGACCGCGCTCTAGGCGACTGCGTTAAACCAGACCCGGACTTGGTTGACAGATTGGTTCAGTATCCAGGCAACAAAGAATCGTTCGCTATCTCCGACCTCGGTCGATTTCGTAAGCGGCGATATGCAGAGCAAAAGGCAAAGAATTCTGAACTGAATTTCGACTCCTCAAAACACAAGGTGGCTTGTGGTGAAGCTGCTATTTTCCAGTCTATTTTTGGTAAGGGTGTTTTCTATAATCTACCAACAAAATACGTAAAAGCAATGTTTCAGGAGGAGCGTTTGCCATATAAGGAGGGTTGGAGACCGCGATGGATTCCGGTGATGTCTCCAGAACTGTTAATATTACGGCTGGTGATATCACATTATGCTTCGCCAACTTGATTTAAGAGTGTTATAAATCCTTTCATGCTATTTAATTATATATCTGGTAGCAGGTTTTATATTCAAAATCCTATATCCCGTTATCATGCCATTACATTGTAATTCCTTGCAGTGATCATGTGTGGGCTGATATTTAACCATTATTATGCTCGGTAGAAGGCACCACCACCGGTGTAGCCGGTTACGCGGCCTAGAAACACCTTGGGAATGCTGACTCAAGTAGGGATTGTAGTGGACGGCTTATTGACCCTAGATAGGACGGGTTCTATATTATTCAAGTTAACCCTAGAGTAGCTGTAGTCACTAGTGGAAGGCCAGTCAAATGCTGGCTATAAAGCGGGAAAAACCAGGTTTCCCACTGCACACTTGTTGAGTAGTGTTTAGCAGCTGCATGCCCTGAACCTCATTCATGTTTTCAGATGCTATGGGTCATCCATTCATATAATTATTTGGTCACTTATCAGTAATATTTTGGCATATCGCCATGCAAGTATGTTCCGTAAAAGGAGTAAGAACTAATAAGTAGATAAATCTTTGACAGCATGTCAAGCAAACCCATTGAAAATCAATACTGTCGTTTACAAGTTGATTAAAGGAGATCAGTTTATCAAGGTCAATATCTGACTAAGGAAGCCCACCTTTCAAACCAACCCTAGACCATAAATTTATGCTTCCGGCGACCCATGTGTTTATAGTATTGCCTCTTTGCACGCCTCTCCCCAAGTGAAGTGTTTTATGCCCTCAGGTTAATTTAAGATTTAGCGTCCGAAGCGGATGACCGCTGCTATTTTCGGGTGCGCCACATGACGCGTGTCGATCACCCGAGCCCGCAATCTTGTGCTAGAATCGTCCGTGGCTCACCCATCCGTGGTTCCCCGTCACTGTCAAAGTCACACTCCGCTTGCACGTAGTCAATCGGATTCACTCCCAAGTTGTTGTCGCACAGACCATATGTCGTAGTTGTTCCTTCCGCCTAGTAGTCGTTCGAGTTCCAGCTATATTGCCCGCGGATCTCGGCGAATTAGTTCTAGATTGAAAGGGGTCTACAGCACATCCGACGTTTGAACGCCGATGCTCGAGAGGCTTGTGAACTGCGCACAGGCATTTTAATCCATCCAACGGCCGAAGGGAGTATATCCTCTTTGAAAGAGGAGCCAGCCAGCGCATTTGTTCTAACCAGCGAAGCAGAGGCCGTCCGTGAAGCGTTGAAATTCAATTCATATGCTCTTGTGCTTGTCTTCACTGTTGATGTATAGAGGTTCCTTGTCATGGCCAGCTTCGATTCGAAGGTCATCGATGTCCCACAGATGGAGCAAGTGCTCAAACAATTTGATCGGCTGGTACAGCAAATCCTCGAGGATCCAACTCAACGAATCCAGCACATATACGATTCCACCATTGAGATGGATCTCACAGAACAATTCCATCTGGCCAGGATTGGTCCGGTGAGCCTCCCTGCAGAGGAGGTTTACTCGTCTGTCAAATCTACTTGGATTGTTAACCCAAACGACCAAGAGTGTCTTGTGCCACCTGGAGGGGTGGGTGAGCTGCTCATTGAAAGCGAAGGTGATCCAACTTCCGGCAATCTTGTTGCCAAACCTGGTTCTGGCACCCAACGAAGTTGTACACGACGAACCAGCTAGCAAAATATACCAATGACGGCTCCGTTATTATTATCCGCGCAAAGGACGCGCAGATCGGTCAACTCAAACTGCGAAACAAAACCCTCAATGGTTGTGCAGCCATCACAACAGTCACACAGCAAAAACTCCAACGGGTCTGGAGTCAGGTCTTGGATATTCCTTGCGAAGATATCCTTTTGGACGATAGCTTCTTTGATTTGGGAGGCGACTCCATTCGTGCTATAAAGTTGGTCTCGGAGGCTCGTATGGGTGGCCTTCAGCTAACTGTGACCACAATCTTCGACCACCGGTCTCTGTTTGACATGGCCGAACACGCAGTGGAAGCTCGGCCATCAGTCGTTATATCTCAAGAGTACACACCATTCAGCTTACTCGATGTGACCGATGTAGATGCGTTCATCAGCAAGATGACCCCATTGCTTGCTTGGCCAGGATGGAAGATCGTGGATGCCTATCCAAGTCGCCCACTCCAGGGGATTGCAGTCCTGGGAACTGTCCAGCTACCTCGGTATTCTATGCGATACGAACTTTTCTACATGGATACCGTGTTGGATCGCAATCAACTTTTCCAAAGTTGCCAGGAAATTGTCTCTCGGAATGAGATTCTTCGAACTGTGTTCGTGGAGCATGAGGGCATCTCATTGGGAGTGGTTGTCGATGACCTTCCCTGCCGAATAATTGAATATGAGATTGAAAGGGATGTGGAAGCGTTCAGCCAGAAACTCTATGATGTGAATGTTCAGTCACGCATTCCTCTCGGATCACCATTTTTGAAATTCTTCTTCGTTCGGCATGTTGACGGGCCCAGCAGCCTGATCATGCGCATCTCCCATGCCCAATACTATGAGATCAGTCTTCCAATTTTGCTACAGCAGCTGTCGGCATTGTATGAGGGACGAACAGTGCCGAAGAGTTTGCCCTTCTCGTCGTATGTCAGCAACGTGACTCACACTAATTTACCAGCCAGCATTCCGTACTAATTACAGTCGCGACTCTCCCTACAGCGGCTTGCGCGCTGTGCCTTGCGCGACGCCTCTCCCTCGATGATGTCATTTTTGGCGAGGTGGTGAGTGGCCGCAATATTGGCCTCCCCAACGCTGATGCGATTGTTGGGCCATTGTGGCAGTATATACCAGTGCGGGTGAAGTTTGCAGATGAATGGAGTGCCATGGATCTTTTACGGTTTGTCCAGCGACAACATGTTGAAAGCGCGCAGTTCGAAGGGATCGGTCTTAAGGAAATTATCTATCAAGGACTGCACCGACTGGCCAGAGACTGTTGACTGGTTTGACTCGGTCGTGCACCAGGACGTTGAGCACGTTGAGGGTCTGTCTTTCATGGCGGCCAGTAGTCTTATGCAGACCATCTACCTACATTTTGAACCATTACGGGAGATCAAAGTGCAGGCATTCCCAATGGGGGACATTCTATGCATCGAGGTTGTCACTGTCGAGTCGTGGTCGGACTTTGCTGTGTCTTTGCTAGATGAAAAGGTCGACACTATTGGGCAGTTGGTGAATCACGTCCATTCCAGGATTTTGTAGGCGGGTTGGCTTTTTTCCGCTTGCTATATTCTTTTATCTGTGCTTGTTAGTTGCAACATTTTGGGCTTAATACAGTCTGGGATGCAGTACTTCAACAAAGAGTCTCAACGCAGCATAACAAAACACAAATGTAGTGCTTAGATGTCCAATCCAATGACTGCAGTCATGTCATTGGGTGTCAAATCCTTCATCACTTAGTGTAAGAGGTGTCTAATATATCATTGTGCATAGTTATAGATGTTTAATAATATACTATAGGAATAGTACACTAAACAGCATGTAGTAACTGGGATTTTAAATCTTTCACAAGTGTATAAAATTAAATTGAAAACTGTCTCCATCCCTGTGAATCCTATCTTCCTTTCTGACTAGTATACATTTGTGACGAGCAATGTGACGTGGAATCATGAAGAATTAGTTCAATGAGAGGTGTCAATACTGAGTACTGAGTTCTTCAAGATCCCGTTGACTGAAAGCAGCCTGAACTAGAATATGTGATAGAGGTGTTAAACTGCATCGACGCCGCTAATCTCAATTCCATAGGAGTTCGGCAAGATTAAGCGCCCCAGAATCATTTGCATGTGCGGAATCAATTACGGTTTAGCGTTGAACTAGACCCAATTGCATGTTTTAACTTGGGTTCTCAACAATAGACACTAAAGTAACTCCTTTCTTCCAATTTGATCAAATATAGTAGAGTTGTACTGTCCCCCGAGTGATATGATGTATATATATCTGACCAGTTAACCAAAAACTTACCCAAAGTCCGAGTTGACTTTAGGAACTATGATCTTGATTATAAACCACGAGAACAAGATATATAGGTCAAGGTCGATAGGTTAAGCAATTTTCTATAGCAATACAGCAATTAATGTTGAGAATTGGCAGTGTTGTATTTCTTATTGAATTACTTAGTTAGTTATACATCAGAGTATATTATGAACCCTAAAGTAGCCTCGCTTTATCCCAGATAGGTGCCATGGTCTAGTGGTATGACGAGACATTGTGGTGTTGATTCTGTCTTAGCCCTGGTTCGATTCCGGGTGGCGCCATTTTCAATTCTTTTTTTCAAAAAATTCATATATATCAGAATGTCGAGGAGAGTTGTTATTCTAGTGGTGTACGATAGGAATTATATTTAATACTTCATATAGGGGGTCTATGGCGTTAGATATGTGGCTAAGGTGGTAAATTGGATTATTGGAAGACAAGATTCACAATTCTATCCTATATTAGTTGAATAAGAACTTCGAAGAACTAAGTGTAGACTTATTATATCAAACAATTAAAACCAAACGCCAAACAATAAAATAAATAAACAAGATTTCTAAGCTCGAGGACATGAATGCCATTGAATTATACGAACAATAAAAAAAAAGAAATGGCGCCACCCGGAATCGAACCGGGGCTAAGACAGAATCAACACCACAATGTCTCGTCATACCACTAGACCATGGCACCTATTTGATGAAAAGGGGGCCATTTTAGCATATATAGTTCATGACAATATTGAACTAACTCGGTAAGTGTGAATACAATACACATTTTGTAGCAGTCTACCTCTTTTGTATGTCCCCACTTTCCCTAGGGATACTATTTTCTATGGGTAATTGAAGCATCAAGAAATTGCTACGAGCAATATGTATCTAATATAGACTATTTTAACAGAGGTGCTCGAAATATTGCGAAGGTTGCACTGGTCGATCGTCGAAAGAAAGAGTAGAAGACGTTTTATGTTGTAGTATTCGTAAAAGTGGAATTGGTATTCCTTAAATTCCTTACATATGGAGCAAAGATAGAAATCCCTTTGAGCCATCCTAAAATGTGTCATAATCGTATTTATCAAAAGAATTCATGTACCGCACGCCACAAGAGAAGCATCAAAATAGTGCCATGAGACGTGCAGAATCAAATATACCGACAGAGGCTTGAATATAGTATATGGAAAATGCAGGCCCAAGCTGAGATAAGTGGTCTACCCCTGGACTCGCTGCTTCCTCCAAGTCAAGAAGACAACATAAAACTTCTCCGTATTTGAGTCAAATTGGGAATTATTTCCAATTTTGATTTCGCCATTTGTACCCGAGCTTGATTGATGATCAAATGGCACCAAAGCCGGGGCCGCAGGAACCGGCTCCTGTTCCTGGAAAGATTGAGATTCTGGCCTAACCTCGGTATCGACCGGCCATGCAGCTCTCTGTCTCTTCAACTCCGCCTCTTTCGCCCCAGACCAAGTATATGCGCTCTTTGACTTGGGGTCAGCGACCAGATACAAGCCCTTGTCAGCCTGCATGGGAAACTTCCACTCGAAAGCTTGTTGTATGATGGCATCTAGCTGGTCCCTCTTCCGCATTATTGTCTCGAACTCAATCACCAACTCCTCGAGGCAGGGGAGGGAGCTAAATTGATTCCCCCATAATCGCGCTGCGGCTGGTGGGGAAACAACCTGGCCCATATCTGCTGCGCGGGTTCTCCCGGGCCGGAACGGATCGATTCCCAAGGGCTCATTGTTCTCCCAGTGCCACCAATCCGTGTGGCGAAGCGTGATGGTCATCTTCTTTGGAGCGATCCTGCACTCCCCGCGCAGATTGTGCCCGTCGTCACCTATCTTTAGCCCATCCCATATATGGGATTGATTGTCCTCTAGGAAAAACTGCTGGGTGAACAGGTGTAGATGCTGCACCTGAGCCCGCTGTTTCGGGGTCATCTTGCGAAAATAATTCAGCGGCGACGAGGCATCATTGACATGTGGCGGAGACCGATAGAACCAGAAAGTATGTTCATTCACTGCCGGTGGGAGGAGGGACGCCTCGGCATATATTTGCTGGCATGTCTGAAGGAGGGCAGTCTGTATGCGCTTGGGCTGCTTGTACCCAGGGCGGTAGTAGAAAGCGTTTTGCTTATAAAGGGAGCGAGAACTGTCGTCTGTGAGAACATCCTCGGACTCAAGGGCAAGCGTGTAAATCCGATTGCGGATCTCGGCGGGAAAGACGGTAAATAGGGGGGATGTCAATGGAGCTGCAGGTAGAGATGGGATAAGGTCCTTGAGGGTCTCCATTCCCTTTACACGACGCCTTTTTGATAGTCGACTCGAACGCATGTTGTGGGTAGCTATACAAGCACCTAAAAGAGCATACCTACCGATTTATATACTATACACATGACCCCGTTAATACCTGGAATAGCACCTCATTCGCCGCCAATAATACAGTATGCAACTAGCTTGTTTTGATTGGGGAAATTGCCGGTTAGCCTCATGGGTGCCTAGAAATGTCTCATGGTTGAGGCGCAATGGCTTAAATATTAGGCAGTCGCTCTCAAGACTGGTTCATCCGATGACGTAGACTTTGCTATTGTAGCGAGTATAAAAAATGTTGAAATAAATTAATTATCAACCAAAAAGCATCCACTTCAGAAGTAAAAGAAGAAGGGAGAAAAAAAAAGAAATGGCGCCACCCGGAATCGAACCGGGGCTAAGACAGAATTGGACACCACAATGTCTCGTCATACCACTAGACCATGGCACCTATTTGATGAAAATGTGGGCTATATTTGGCTTTATGTTTCTTAACCCAGTTATCGTTCGTGTAAGCTGAACTTTCTAGCCCTAGAGAACTCACTATTGTATCTTATCGTTCTGAAGGCGAGCAAAGTATGTGAGAATAGAAAACTACTAACCTCATTTCAGTTTGAATGGTCTACGGATGGGACCAACAATCTAACTATTACGTATCACCGGAAGCTGAATGAGATACCTATGTATGAACTACACAGCGAAATTTCCACTCTTGCTACGAAAATATAGTAATTGTACAAACCTTCAGATTTGGGCACTTCTGCCCTTTTATCGTTATATGATTGTAGACTTTAACTGATTAAATCCACACGGGGGCGGATATCCCATCAAGTATGGGATCCTACCCTCCGCCTTATGGAACTCGCGAGCGGCTTTGTCAAAATTTATGTTTGTGATAGCAATGATTGTGCCGGCAGAAAGAAGTATGTTCAAACCCTCGAGTGTCCTCAGTCGATTCACTAATAGAGTTCAGGATATTTTCCCAATTCCCCCTCGAACTTATATTGCAACATATCGATTTGGTTTTAGGGGTAGAAAGTTGGTGGCTGACAGCTAGGAGGGGGTGGCAGCAAAGGGAAAGTGCTAGGATAAGTTTCAAACCACCATGTGTAAACACTTCGAAAATTGCTGCATGGTCATATTTCAGGAAGAACCAGGCAGAAAGTAGGAGAGATCAGACAGAAAGGGGAGAATGAGGTGAAGACCAAGCGAACTATATATCAACACCAGATTCGATCCTACCTTGAAGGTTGCCATACTAGGCTTAGGCCTCTATTGATCTTCCCAGAAAGAACCAGATATTTTCATTTGGTAAAATGATGGTCTTTTACCTCCTCCATATCGGGACCCTCCCAAGGGGAATGCTCTTGCCCCAAGCAACTCAGCTTTGGCCCCTGACAAACAGCATGCCACTATGCTCGAGCCGACTCCTAGTTGCCAAGCAAGTATCTGTGCTTTCAATTTATCTATTGGTCATTGGCACTCTGGGGGTACTACAATATAGCTAATACCTCTCCTACGATTCAAAATAAGCAGATCTAGATTTAATAAATTCAATGAAAGTTTTTCATTGATGAACTTGACTCTAGTATAAACAAGGAGATAAAAATGTAGGTCATATCATATGTCATAACTGGCTCAGAATAAGATAACATGGGAAAACATATCATTTTTCATGAATCATGAATCGAAAATTGGCCCGTAGGCTGGAATCCCTTGGGATTCAAACTCGTAAACAATATCTTGAGTCATTTTGGGGTTGCTGATCACAAACACTGCCTCTGCTCTGAATTCCTTCACTTGCTGTCGCACGACGGGAAGCATGTCAACACGGCCATCACGACTGGTATCGAAGATAATTGGGTCTGGGCCCATCTCATGGACGAGATCAATGACACCCTGACCATAAGTCTTCAAGGGGTTACGTGTCTGCCAAATGACCTTGATCAACGGCCGGTTTTTGTCGCCCAGGAACCCGAGGCAGGGTCCTATCCCGGACCCCGTGGTCACTATGATAATGCGGTCGAAGACGCGCAGGCCATATCCGACACCACGCATCAGAGCCCCGCGCTTCCAAAGGTGGGTTGGCGGTTCACGGATGGTATCGGCCGTCCAATCCCCTGCTTTTGACACCACGATGGACCAGCTCCTCTTGTGCCCGTGGCCCTTGACAAATGGTTTCTTGCCAGACGCATTCTTGTCAGCTGTCTTCTCGCCAGCTGGAATGGGGTCCGGAAAGCCGGCGAAACTGTGCCAGTCGCGTAGAGGATGCTTTGAGACCTGGACACCTTTTGCGAAGCTGATTGGGGTGAAATCGAAGGATAGCCGTACAGCATGCGAAGACAGTGGCTCGGCCTTCACTGGAACCCTCCGCAATAGTAGCCATGGATGGGCTACGGCGACGATAGCCGCGATTAACAGCCAAAATGCAGGTAGAGTGACGAGGAAGTGGCCAAGAGTGACCTGCTCTGCCTTGCTCGATTCATGGGCAAATATCATAACTAAGGCCACGAAGAGAGCAAGGATCAGCCATGAGGTGAATCGGTGAGTGAGCTCAAAGTAGTCATGCATTCTCCTTCGGAAGGTGGGATATGCCACAACTACCATCACGAAAAGCAGCACAAGAATGATGTAGGCGACGGCGATCGGCGCGGCTGAGAAACCGGCATCTGTTTCTGTGCTGATGGGAGAATTTGTCCAATACATTTTTGACAGCATGGCAACAAATCCAATGTACCACACCAAAGAAGCAGTGCCACAGCCACTGTGAACACCACCGTAGTGTGCAGCCTTAGCGCACCTGCGGCGTAAAGACAGGGGTGCAGTTCGAGGAATTGAGCATACCGCTCTATATATGGCATTGACCATCATCGGGTGTCGAGCCAGACCACATGCCACCAAATTTACAGCCGTCGCATCGACAAGTGCCAGAAGCTGCCGATCAGAGATCATCACGTAGAGGAAAACTGCGAGATTTGCGCAAAATACGACCGTGAAGAGCCGTCGATAGACAGTAAACATGACATATCTGAAGTGCGCAAACCGCTTCCGTCGGGGCTCTATGGGCTGAGCTTCTAGATCAATCACACCAGGAGACTCGGGGCCATTGAATGAGACCTTCTGGGAAGATTCATTTTCAATGACCTTTTCTAGATCTGGGTCAATGGCCAAGTCATGGTCTATGACAATGATCTGTTCAGAATCTGGGGCGATGGCTTTGCCATGATCTATGACAATGGCCTTGGCCGGGGGGGCCGGCATGCATAGATCGCTCTTTTCAGTGTCTGCCATGCTGGAAGTAAAAGGACAGACAGAAGAGGGAGAAGGGAGAAGAGAAATCGGAGACGAGGGTGTTGTATTACATTTATTTTCTCCCGCGTGGAAGACTAAAAAGACGCCTTACACATTTTAGTGCGGTAGAGGATTTTCCGAGGAATGTCACTCGCGGAATCCTACAGTTCCCGGCCTTGCACCCAACTCAAGTAATAGACCCATGAGTGGGCTCCACGCGGTGGAGATACCCTATGTTATACAGACATATGGAGTACAAAGTACGGAGTAGCATGGCGATAGTGGCTTGCCTTGCTTTGACCAGGTGGGAACGTGGACGGTCCAGCCCAATATCCGCAATCTACCCCTCAGTGTAGCTGCTTCAAAGCCTTTCCATTTACAATATAGGGTTGTTTTAAATTTTGACCGAATTCGGAGTACCTCGGCCGATGTAACTGGACAGGCGCCGGCCTTGGTAAATCCGGTACCACTCGGACACCGATATATGTATTATATATTTGTATTTCGTACATCATGGAAGTGGGTTCTTCCTCTGGGCTGGCATATAACTTAAATTTGAGATCTGTGAGACTAAGGAAAACAAAATGAACATTGAATGGATCGGAATAGGCGGTGGAACCCCTATAACCTACTACAACATACATACTCCGTATACACATACAACATAGGTCGACAAGCGGGGTTTATCGCCTTGCTTCAAAGTGGCATGTGCATATTATGTTGTACCTATACCACCCCTGTTGAAGCAAGGGAGACCGTGCGACAAAAGCGAGTTTGTTAACGGGGCAACGTGGCCTCCGTACGGAGTCCACGTTCCTTGCCACCATTCGGGGGGAGGTCGTCTCAAAAGTGCAGAGCAGAGATCCCCACCCCAGCCCGCTCCCCTGGATTCAAAACTCCGTCTTTCTGTTGATCAACCCAATCGGGAAGTGTCGATCCAGTTCCAGACGTGTTGAGAGTATGGGTTTGTCATTAGTGGAGCCACCCGTGCACAAAGTTGTTCGTCGCGCTTGGTCCCCCTCACGATAACATACATTGAACGGAGTAATGGCGTCCCTCATCCCGGCAATTGCATGTTGAATGATCCTGCAATCTGCACAGCGGGGCTTTCTGCCATGCAATATGCGAGGTTGCTCCAAAGTATAACGGCCAGATTATCATGTGAGTTTGATGGCGGGACTCGGGACCCACCCGCGGCACGGGCTCCCAACACGACAAGTCTTGGCAATCTCGAAAATTTCATACATTTCAGATACGGAACAACGTATTGTAAATAAAAAACATATATGCTGAACTATTGAAACTATCTAAAAATGAGAAACGCTAAAAAGCAAGATAGAAATAGTTGAGGAAAAGGTTGTCTTAAGCTAAACCATACTTAGTATGGATTATCAGACAGTTCTTCAGCTCGGCACTGAGACAAATGAACTAGTGGAAGCAATTTTCCTCGCTAACGCCTTGGCTGGTTGGGAGCCAAGAAATTCGAAAGAGGATAGTTCTGCTCCCAGTTCGCGAGAGACCCAGTTCTGGACGGCTGTAGCTTTGAGGGAATCAACTAGAGGTCGGTGTTAGTCAACTGAACTATGGCAGTGGAAGAATATCATAAAAGAAACGTACCACCCAACGCGGACAATGGTAGATCTGAGTCGATAGCATCAGCAGTTGTAGCCATCGCATCTGCTAGATATTCACTCAGAGCATTAAGAACAATCTCAGTTGCAGTGTTGAGTGAACTAGATTCCTTAAGCAAGGCGCTGGTCTGAATAGAATCCTCAGTGTCCTCGACAGCGAGACAAAGTCGGTGATCGAACTTTCGATCGAGGACCCAGCCTGTAGAGCCATTGCTACGAGACAGGGAGTCTGTCATGCCAGCAATAATCTGAGACGGGAGGGAAAGCTTGCTGTTAATGATCACTCTGAGCAAGGTCTGGAGCTCATGGGTCATGATTTCTGTGCCCTCAAGATGTTTGTATCGACGGCGCCGTTGCTCTTGATCTTCAGAAATATCACTGAGTCCACTGGCATCTGGCACGAGGCCAATGTTAATAGAATGACCTGGGAGGCCGTGATTGCGTCGCCATTCCATGAGAGCATCAATGAAACCATTGCCAGCAGAATAGTTAGCCTGTCCCATATTACCAATGACACTGGCCACGGAAGACAATGCCACAAAGAAAGTCAAGCCTTCCTTGTCCGAAAACAGATGGTGCAAGTTCAGTGTCCCACGGATCTTGGATTCTGTGGATTGGGTCCAATCGCTAAAAGTCATGTTCTCGAACATTGCGTCCTGAAGATGTAGAAAATTAGATAGTGCAGATAGGAAAAAATTCAAACGAGGGTAAATCACCTTCAGAACTGTTGTACACTGAATAACGCCTGCGACAGTCCAGCTTTTACTGCGAATCTTATATGATAAGTGGTCAATATCTCCCTGTTGGGAGATATCACAGCGTAGTACATCGATGCGGCAGCCGCGATCGCGAAGGAGATCAAGGGAAAGCTGCTGACTAGGTTGTGTCCCACCAGATCTTCCAAGGAAAACCAGATGGCGGGCTCCAGACTGCACCAAGGTATCAGCAAGCGCAAGACCTAGATTACCCAATCCACCTGCTAGGATATATGTGCCTTCAGTTGGCAGACCAGTAAGATCTGGTAGTGGCAGCACAATGGGGACCTTCCCTGGAGCCTGAAGGTCCACGATAGCTCGGGCGTTGGTCGCTTTGCAATGTTTCAAAGCTCCCTGGAGATCAGAAATAGGGAACATGGAATAAGATTCGACGCGGTCCAACATGCGATGTTGCTTCATGAAGTCAATCACATGCCTTACTGAAGCATGTAGATTACCGGGCTTCTCTGAGAATGTTTTCTGCAGTCGCGGCGAAGAGAAAGTGCAGCCACTGTCGATGAAGCTCTCTGGAAGAGCACTCAGCTTCATCTCGCTCGAAAGATTAATGTACTGTCCTCCTTGGACCAGACATTTTGCAGCATTTCGACCTGGATACCCGCCAAGGAAGCAAATACTGGCGTCAACTCCACATCCATTGGTTAGCCTGGAAACACTAGTTTCCAAGCTACCGTGAACTCCCAGAATTCGATCCGCCAATACCGGGTAGCGGGTGCGAAGCCTCTCAGTAGTATCTAGAGAATCAGTTGCCACGATGACTTGCATCTTCATGGCAAGGGCATAGTCTATCATGGCCTGAAGGGTTTGGCTAATTGACCCAACCAAAAGCACCGAGGAACTTGAGCTGAGGTGACCGACTTGGGTGAGGATCTGATAAGCATTGAGATACGCGAGAGGAGTCGATATCGCCTTGGTTGGATCTGTGTTTGCAGGAATCCTAATAGTGTCGCTCTCCAAGACCTGCATTGTTGTCGAAAGTCCCGAGTTCGCTGATGCCAAGGTTAACACTTTATCGCCAACAGCCGAATCGTGCACACCAGTTCCGACACGGGTTACCCTTCCAACAATTTCGAACATTGGAAGAGCTGTCTCTGGTATCTTCCCCTGATCACCGTGTAAATCAAAGATCGTGGCCATTTCAACCTTGATCTCAGTGTGGTCTGATCTTAGTTCGTCTTTGAAGAGTTGTTGTTCCTCCCAGCGTGCATTGCCTGCGTCCTGGAACTTCAACTCAAGGGGTCTTGGATCAAGCGTCAGGTCTGATAGTACGGGCCTGGGGCCATTTATCAGAGTATGCATGGCCTCGTCTACCACTGGGGTCTCGAGCACTCGTGGGACCAACAGCCGACCGTTTGCTAGACGATACTCCAGGTCTGGCCGGCGTGAATTCTTTTGCGTTGTGAGTTGCATGACTTGGAGAATGCCACAAGCTAGTCCAAATTTGTCTTCCCAATCTTCTAAGTCCACTAGTAGGTGTGGGATAGCCGTGTTCCACTGCTCATTGCGAAGTGTTCGCAAAAGGCCACCCGTGGCACCGGATCCAATATTCTCAACATCCCCTTGGGCCCAGGAAGGCGACACCCAAAGAACGTATTGAGCTCGTATCAGCTCTTGGAGACGTTTCAGATCCTTTTCTGTCCACTCGGATACCCAAGGTCTTGCCAAGTCAAGAAACGAAATAACAGTCTTCCCTGCTAGTGTAGCCACCTGATCCAATCCCACAGACACGATGCGAACATTATGGATAGCAAAGATCTTCTCAAGGTGCTCAAAAACAGGGAATGAGTTGGAATTATCTGCTGGACTCAAAACATAGATTTCAGAGTCGGTTGTCCATGAGACTGGCGTCCTCCGCACAATGATAAACTTGCGATCTTCGGTAGTGCTGTGGATTTCAAGGCCGTCGAAGCGCTGCAGCTTCTCTGCTGCGGAGTTCAAATCGGTATCTGACACGCGTATTGCGACCAATCCTCCATGCTCAAGAATGGTGATGAGACACGGCAGAATAGCTCGAGAAGTTTTGTCCTCCCACACTCTGGGCTCATCAATCACGACCAAATCATATTTATCCTGAGCGAGTGACGAAGATGGAAGTTCGTCGAGCGTAGCGAGGGGTATCAAGTGAGTACCTGGGAGACTGTTCTCTGTTGGAGTGCCGCCTTCTGCCTGCTTATCGGCACATGAAGCGACAGTGATCTTTCCTAGGCAGGGTCGCTTTCCTACACTTGGGATCAGCTCTTGGAGATTTTCGATCCAAGAGGTCGATGTGTCTGAAGCAGTGATCAGTGCCCTGGCATCTCCGTTGGTATGGCACAGTCTCTTAATCCAATCTATCAGCTGGAGACTGCTGGCTTGCACCGCCGTATTCTTGCTTCCGTCATGGATTTGGCTAGTGACAAGCGGCGACTCCAAATGCTCATCCCAAACAATCGACGAATATCGGCTCTCCGAGGATGCTTCCTCTTTCTTTTGAGAATTGGGGTTGAAGGGAAGACGACCGAGATGAACACCTTCAAATGTGACCCAGGGCTGTGACCAGGAGGAGTCCGACGCGATGCACTGGGATCGTGATTTTCCATCTCGCCACTTAGTCTCT